CGACAGAATTCTGACCTAAACCTGTTCGAATATCTCTGGGAATAAGTAAAGAAGAGGTCAGATAGAAGACCATCTCGACATCTGGAAGAATGAAAGAGACCATTTTCACAACACGTGAGGCTGTTCATCCAGATGTAACAAACAAGCTTGTTAGGTCAATGACTGGGCATTGTGCCGTAATAATGGTCCCTCATGGTGGCTGTACCAAGTGCAAGACCACTACAAGTCTTTCTATCTAGCATGTCTTGCAATACCATGAATTTTACTAACAAGTGACAATTTGGCTGGGGGCCTAAAACGTTTGCACAGTACTGTATATATTTTTTGTAATCTTTGGAAAATGCCGCAAGTTTATTTGGCAACCCTTTCAAGTTGTAATTGCACTTTGGCTCATAGCCAATAAAAATCACTCTAGTATATACAACTGGGCAATCAGCATTCAGGAAACATGCAAAAATAATATGAATTTGTACCAAATTGTACCATTTACCAAGCATTGTTCTGATAAATAGGCAAGTGGGGAGACAGGGCTGCATTCTGCAGTTATTGAAGGTACGCTAGAAATGGTAAAAGATCTTGTTGAAAATGGCGCTAATGTAAATGGAAAGGACACTGACGGGTGGACAGTGCTGCACTATGCTGTTACTGAAGATAAACTAGAAATCATAAAATATCTTGTTGAAAATGGCGCTGATGTGAAAGGCAAAAACACTGAAGGTAGGACGGTTCTACAGACTGCTGTTACTGAAGGTACACTGGAAATGGTAAAATACCTAGTTGAAAAAGGTGCTGATGTAAATGGCAGAAATACTAGCGGGTGGACTGTGCTGCACAGTAGTGTTACTAAAGGTACGCTAGATATAGTGAAATACCTTCTTGAAAATGGAGCTGATGTAAGTGGCAAAAACACTGATGGGTGGACAGTCCTGCACAGTGCCGTTACCAATGGTAAGCTAGGAATAGTAAAATACCTTGTTGAAAACGGTGCTGATGTTAATTGCGAGGATAGTGATGGAAGGACAGTGCTCTACTTTGCTGTTACTGAAGGTGCGCTGGAAATGGTAAAATATCTTGTTGACAGCGGCGCTGATGTAAACGGAAAGAACACTAACGGGAGGACAATGCTGCACAGTGCTATTGAAAAAGGTACGCTAGAAATAATAGAATACCTTACCGTAAACGGAGCTAATGTAAGACTATGTGCACACGGTAACGTTTTCGAGCGTTTTCATCTGTAACGCGTTTCAATAAGACTATGTGCACACGGTAACGTTTTCAAGCGTTTTTGTACTAGCGTTTTCAAATGTGTCGTTTTGGCGTCTTGTTCACACGATGGTTCACAAACGTTCCCAAGAACTAGTTACCAGTGCTCTGTTGCCAGATATGATGCGCGGTAATGGCCAGGATGCAGTTTTAGCGCGAAATATTTTCTACCTTTTCCTACATTAGTCCGTTCTTTCACAGACAACTAAAACTTGTGTACTGAAATCATTGACTGAAATGCAACAACAGTCGTTAGAAACAAGCGAAATAGTTGAAGTTGCTCCAAAAACTGCAATGGCCGAAACAGTTGATGCTAATAAACGTAAACGAAGCTCCACAGAGAATTTCATATGGACTGACGCCGAAGTAGAATTGCTTCTTTCCATCGTAAAGGAATACAAAACTCAAAAAACAAACGATGGGATATATTGGGACAGTTGTAAAAGCAAGTATACCGACTTAAATGAAATGTTTGTGGATAAGCTAGCGGTTGTAAACGGCATACCTAATGACGATTATGCACATAAACATACTGAATTTCAAAACAACCCTACTCGACTGGCTGGCAAAATCAAACAACTCAGAAACAAGTTTGTTGCTGCTGTAAGAGCTGGTAAAAGAAGTGGTGGTGGAAGGCAGGTGTTCAGATTTTATGAAGAATGTCAGAATGTATTTGGTGGAAATGCAGCCGCTACTGAAATACCTGGAGCCATTGAAACTGATCATAGTGGTGTTCATGCTGTTACGTCTGCCAAAGACAAGGAGAATGTAGAAGAGGATTTGGAAGAGGATGCAGGTGCAACCATTCCATATTTGATGACCCTCTCCCTCCGAAACGCCGTCATCTTATTTCTGATTTACGAAATCAAAAGTTGAATAAGAAAATTTCCACTGATCAGCAGATGATAAACATTGCACAAAAAGAACTTGTGTTGCAGGAACTCATGGTGAACAAGATAGCTGAAAGTGACAGCCAACAGGCAAATGCACTAAAAGCACTGTCAGAGTCAATTACCATCATTGGTCAATCTATGTCAGAAGGTTTTAAGAATATTGCTACTGCAATTGGTGAAAAAAAATCAGGTAGTTCAAATGTTGAAGAATATTGGTGATAATAATACAAGTGTGATGGTCACAAGCAATTTAGAATTGTTATGCTGTTTTAAGTTACCAGTTGTAGTGTTCACCTTAATATAAATGGGAACATTTCATGTTTTGAACATAGTATATATTATATTGTAATATAAATAATTACATTTTTGTTGTATAAATATTTAAATATCATTTTCAATATTGGTTGAGTTATATTTACAAGTAATTATTTATCATTAAAATTATATTATTTGTTTACCATTTTGTACAACTGTTATTAATTAACAAATAAACATTTTTTCAAGTTTGCAACAAGTTTAAAGATTCTGGGTGATGCTTGGAGGGTAGGTTAACCACATAAAGTGAACCCTATATGTTATAAGGCAATCACTAGTTCATTCAAAATACATTTTGAATATTTCACGAATGTCCTTTGCATTATTTGGGCAAGGTTCTATTTGCTGCCGCCAGTTCATAGGTTGTTCATTAAATTGTTCAATGCTCTGAATTCTGGGCTGAGTGAATTCTCTATCATAACGTAGTGCTGCATCAATTGCAGCCTGATCTACCCCGTCATGATGTACTTCGCAGTAATTATGGAGATAAAACATGCATAAATGAGATATGGAAGCAATTCCAAATCAACATCTAGTACACCTTTTAAACAGCCCCACCTGGCCTTCAATCTTCCATTTGCACACTCTATCACCATTCTTGCCGATGACAGTCTGAACCCATAAAATTGTTCAGCCTCTGTTATGCCCCCTGCTTCATACTCCTTCATCAGGTAAGTATTGAGTGGGTAGGCTGGATCACCCAAAATGCAAATTGGAACAGGAGGTAAATTTTGAACAATCACTTTAGGGCAAGTTGGAATGGTTCCATCTTTAAGCATTTTACACACTGACGAATTGACAAACACTTGAGCATCATGGACACTCCCTGGCCATTTGACAACAACGTCAAGAAAGCAGTACTTGAAATCACATGTTCCTTGAACATTTAGACTGTAGGTACCTTAAAAGAAATGTTCATGGAAAATTATTACTTGAATTAATATCCTACACATTAACAAATCAAGGTAGTGCTTGGTACGTTTACCATATTCTATCTATATTCAGTCTAGATTCAGTCTATTTTTACCCAAACAATATATTTGTCATAAAGGTTGAGGCTTGTTCCTTAATTGATTCGCGACTGAATGAATTTAACATTCAATATGACACCTTTTCCTAAAATTTTCAGTGCCATTTGATATATAGGGACACCCCTCCATTCAGGGGTTTGGATATCCAATAAGAAAGAGGGATATTTCATCCTTATTTTTTCAAGGGGTAGACTGTGATTTTGCCCCATAATTACATAAATTTGATGTTTTTGTGATTATTCAAGGGGAAAAATATATTAAAGAGGTACTTATGATATCCTATAGGCCAATGTTTCAAAAAATGCATCCAAAGGGATTCAAATTATTGTTCTCCTAAGAGGGCTTTAAAATGATCCCCCAATAGAGCAGGGGGGTACCTATATTAAACAGAGAAATAAAACAGGATACTCTGAAGTAGAAGACTGGTTACAATGTTGCACAGGTGTACCTTTCCGATTAATATATTCAGATGACTTTCCTCTTGGTTGCTTTATCCGTATGTGTGTTCCATCTACAGCTCCTATACATTGGGGAAAACCATGCTTATCATAAAATTGGCTGGCCAACTTGTGTATGCTTGCCACATCAGTTGGAATCTTTATGTACTCTTTTCCTAGATGCTTAACTATGGCAATGCAAACTGACCGAAGAAGGTGGTTTTTCCAATGCCAAAGGCATTTGCAACCTGAAAACGAAGTGAAATTAAATTAAAGATAAAGTGAAAATGTGTTGTAATCAGTAATCACAATGGGCTATATTGCATTTAATATGTTTATCTCCAAGGGTTAGAAAATTTTGCCTTGAAAATTGATCTTAAAGGGTATAGCATTTTGAATGTACCTTTGGTACATTCCTATATCATCATGGTACCTTTCTATATCTTGACTCGTCTGCTAAATAATACAGTGTAGCTGCAACTTTCGTTTCTACGGGGATTGCTTTTCTCATCACAGTATCTTCTCCAGTTAAATGTGGCCTCAGCTTTTCGCAAAGCTGCATAAAATTCCTTTTAGTCATTCTAAAATTTTCTTTCCACTCCTGAATGCTTGCTTTGTTCTCCCAAATATTAGTCCACCAGATAGACGTCCTGCCTGGTCGGCACCAAATTCTTGACCTTCTTGGGGGTCGTCGAAGCCTTTTTAAGTGTCTTTTTAGGCGTCTTTTTGAATTATTGAACTCCTGAATAGCAGCCAGTTTAGTTTTATTTCTTGTTATCAATATCGTAGTTACAACCAAGGATATTAACTGAAGAACTAAGCTACTAGTCAACAGTGTAAATATCGCCACTCTTGCATTGGGCGCCATTTTGAATTTTAGCGTTTCAGCGTTTTTCATAGCGAAAACGCTTGTCTGAAAACGTTTCCAGCATTGAAAACGTTTCCGGGATTAGATTCCGTTTTCGCCCTGTTTTCACCCATTTTTGTGTGTACGCGCCTTAAAAACGACACTTATTGAAACGCGTTACAGATGAAAACGCTCGAAAACGTTACCGTGTGCACATAGTCTTAATGGCAAGGATGATGACGGATGGACTGTATTGCACTATGCTGTTACCAGCGGAACGCTAGAAGTGGCGAAATATCTTTTGGAAAAGGGTGCTAATGTAAATGGTGAGAATACTAACGGGAGGACTGTCTTGCACAGTGCTGTTGCTAAAGGTGCGCTAGATATAGTGAAATACCTTGTTGAAAACGGCGCTGATGTAAATAGCACGGATATTGACGGGAGGTCAGTTCTACACAGTGCTGTAACTGAACGTAAGCTAGACATGATAAAATACCTTGTTGAACATGGGGCTAATGTAAATGGCAAGGATTCTGATGGGGAGACAGTGCTGCATTTTGCAGTTAGTGAAGGTACCCTAGAAATGGTAAACTATCTTGTTGAAAATGGCGCTGATGTAAATGGAATGGATACTAACGGATGGACAGTGTTGCACAATGCTGTTACTGAAGGTAAGCTGGAAATCATAAAATATCTTGTTGAAAATGGCGCCAATGTAAATGGCAGGTATACTGATGGATGGACAGTATTGCACTATGCTGTTTCCAATGGTACACTAGAAATGGTAAAATATCTTGTTGAAAAGGGAGCTGATGTAAAAGGTAAAAATACTGACGGGTTGACAGTCCTGCACAGTGCCGTTACTAATGGTGCGCGAGATATAGTGAAATATCTTGCTGAAAAGGGCGCTGAAGTAAATATCAGAGATATTTATGGGTGGACAGTGCTGCACAGTGCTGTTAATCAAGGTGAGCTAGAAGTAGTAAAATACCTCGTTGCAAAGGGCGCTAAAGTAAATATCAGGGATATTTATGGGTGGACAGTGCTGCACAGTGCTGTTACTAAAGGTATGCAAGATATAGTAAAATACCTCGTTAAAAACGGCGCTGATGTAAATGGCGAGAATACTAACGGGTGGACAGTCCTGCACAGTGCTATTACTAATGGTTGGCCAGAAATGGTAAAATATCTTGTTGAAAATGGTGCTGATGTAAATGGCAAAAAGGCTAATGGGTGGACAGTGTTGCACAGCGCTGTTACTAAAGGTGAGCTGGAAATGATAAAATATCTTGTTGAACATGGTGCTGATGTAAATGGCAGGGATACTGACGGGTGGACAGTGCTGTACACTGCTGTTACGGCTGGTGCCTTAGACCTCGAATGTTCAGTTGAACAGGTCGCGAAGGATACTGCTGAGTGGAGGGATCTGCATCGTGTTTTCTATTTTTGTAAGTTAGAAATTGTAAAATATATACTAGAACATGGCGCTGACATAAATTGCAAGGATGCTGATGGATGGACCGCCCTCCACGCTTCTGTCGATACTGGTGTATTAGAAATTGTTGAGTATTTAGTTGAGCAGGGTGCTGATATAGCACTTGAAAGTAAAATCAGCGCTCATACTCTTGGCACTGACATCATGAGAATGGCTGTTGTGAACAATTCAGTTGCTTTGGTCAATCTCCTGTTGCAAAAAAAAATCGTTGTGTGGAGAGCTGGAAAACTGCTTGTTGAGGGAAAGCAAATGAGTCTTCTTGAATGGAGTATTTTCCTTGGTCATGATGAAATTCCGAATATTCTCAAAAGGTCCGTAAAACATCGTGAAAAAATTCAGGTGTTGAAAACAACGAACTTCAACCAGTTAGAAAAGGTAATTTCTCAAACACATATGAAGTTGTTTTAATGAGTTTTGCATCTTATATAAAGGTTAAAAGGAAGTTTACAGTCGGCAGCACCTTTTATATTCGTTTTGCACAATATAACTTAATTGTAACCAGATTCGGACTACGCGACTAGATTTTTCCCCTATGCCCCATTTGCTTATAGGCTTAGGTGATTCCATCTAATAACCATCTTTTACTCCTATAGACTGAAATACCGATGGAAGCTTTTGTCGCAAAGAATCAATTCAAAATTGGTGATGGTGGTTTTTCTTGTGTCTATGTTGGTCTCATGAAAGATCAAAGTGAAGTTGCTGTTAAGAGAATTGTGGTGCAAAGTGAGGACAAAACAGTTGAAAACGAAAAAGAAATCATGAGTCTCATTAAAACGAACAACAGTCCATTTATTGTGCACTATCGTCATTTTCACCGTGACGACATATTCATGTATCTTATTGTTGATCTTTGCGAAGAGGACTTGGGGGAACTTGTTCATGCATCCGAGATTGAACATCTACAACAGCGTGGTCCACGAATGATTAAGGAAATTTTATCAGGACTTGAATTTCTTCATGATAAAAGAATATTGCACAGAGATCTAAAACCATCAAACGTCCTGGTTGATATCGAAGGTCGCATGAAATTGGCAGACTTTGGAATAAGCCGCGTTCTAAATGACGAAGAAACAACAGTTGTAACATTCGTGAAAGGTACTCCTGGATGGATGCCACCAGAAGTAATTGAAGCCATTGAAAAAAATGAGAAGTGTCGTTTCAAAAGGAAATCAGATGTCCAGGTAGCGGGTATGATTGCTTTCTTCATCTTAACCAAAGGTGAACACCCTTTTGGATCTAAGTTAGATCGAATGAAAAATATTTCTAAAGGAAACTCGGTGAATTTGAAGAAACTTGGTTTGAAGAAAGCTCGAAAGTTTGTGTCATGGCTGATGAATCATAAAATTGATAAGAGACCTTATGCTCACGAAGCGCTGAGGGATCCTTTTGTTTATAATACATAAATAGCTGTTCTAAGGAGATAAAAGTCCGTTTACACTACGCGCGATATTTGGTAGGGTATGGATAAAACTGGCACCCGTGCCAAATATTGCGTGTAGCTAAAACGGGGCTAAACAACTATTTCTGAAAATAATTATGAAAGACGAGTTCGTACTCGTAAATACGGGTTTCCAAGGGGAGGGAGTCAATGCAGTCCTCGAAAGCTGTAATTTACTTCTTGGTAATTGCGGTTAGCCATGTTTGAAATATCACGACCGATATTCTGAAGCGTTTCGAACAACTTTATAGCATGAAATTCTGTCACGGGTCATATCGCATAATCTAGAATTCTCCTTCATGTCGAAGCCACTGTAAGTTTGTTGCATTCTTCGATAGACCTACACAATTGCGTTAGTTCCATCTTCAATTCCTCCAAATGAACAAGCGACAATTCAGTAACCTTGTAAACAAATATTGTAAAAATAGGGAAACATATCCTCTTCCCTATACTAATATCGGGGAAAGCACTTCCACTTTAGTATATTGTGGATGCATTTGTGTACATGGATGCATTTAAGTTTTGTAAATTTACCGATATTTTTAAGTAAAATTTAGACATTAAATGTGTTTCTATGCATGTTACAAATATAATACTACACCTTTTTGTGTAGAATTTACACATTCGTTTTTGCAGTGAAGTTGTTTCTAACTAAGCCTAAAACTGATCATCTTAAGCGCCCCTTTAGTTATAGTGGAACCTTGCTTTGGAACAACTTGCCTGAATCTTTAAGAGATTCTTCGTCACACCCCACCTTTAAAGCAAACTGGAGTCCCTATATTCATTCAGATTTATCGACTCCTACACGGCAACCAGGCAGAACAGTACTTCTTTTTAATAACTTATCAACCTATGCATATATTTTATCATCAATTATGTAATGTATCACTGCTACCGCTTTACCATCACGCATAGCTGGTGCAAACTGAGCAAGAAGGGATTTTCTAGCAAAATTTAGCCTTTTATAGTTTCATTGTGTCTGTCTCACGTGTCCCTACCCATTTATAATCGTTCCGCATGATTAAAAGTGTTTTAACCAGTGCCTGTGACACTCGCGCTTTTTTTCCTGAAACGCGAAATAACGAATCACGTGACCTAAATTTTTCGCCTTCGCTGTTTGCCGTTTCAACGCCAAGATGAAAAAAAATCGTGACTAAGAATTTAATATGTTTTATAGGTTATCAAATTTTTAAATATTTTTTTTATTCTGAAAGATTTTGCATTTCAACTTTCTTATGTGCTTTTCTGCGACTTAAAGCTTATTAATTCCAGATTTGACCAATTTGCATATATTTACAATCAACAGCGTTGTAAGTCACGCACTGGTCCAAACTCTTTCCATATGTTTGCCCAGATTGGTGATCCTCTCTTCTGTACGTTGGGCCAACACCAGTGGCGCATCAACCACAGATCTACAGGGTGTCTCAGGCTTAATAGCTATATATGTATTCGTTGAAACTATTATTTACTGTAATCACATTCATTATTGACGCATTCATCAACGAACTTTTTCTAACAACTATATTATTTATGCGGGTTCCGTTTTTTTGGGACATGCACCCTGTAGAGCCTCCCGGACCTACGCTTAGGAGCCAGAGCATGCTGTGCCCAAGTCTATAGACTAAATAAATTACGTCTTCTAATCTGTAATTATTTACAAATTTACTTCAGATTGGTTTAGCGCAAGTATGCATGTGCGCTCCTTGAAGTTTCTTTGTGTTTATTTTTTTTAATTTTAGCTGAGTCTTTAAAAGCCGAAATGAGAATCTCCGGACTTTGAATTCCGCTATGTTCTGGAACAATGAGATTAGTACCCACTTACGGCGCTCGCGGAATAAGAACTTTTTTAAGAATCTAGGTAAAAATAATACTTGTAGTTTGTACGTATGAAGTTTGTTCTATAAAAATGTCCCAAGACGCGACATGTATAGTTCGCATAGCCGTCGACGATGTTCCTTTCCAAATTGATTGTTTTTACGTTCTTCTATCATGAATATATGAATATACTCCCCCCCCCCCCACATAAACCCACTTAACGATTTTTGGCTTTGGCCTCTCTCCCTCCTTTCTCTATATGCCATTGTGATTTGTAGATATAGCGACTTCCACGTGTGACCGTGATTAGGCCTTTAGATATACTTTTAGAAATTGGAATCGTGAATTAGTTATCAAGTAAACAGATGATAACAAACAAACAATAAAGATTTGTCGCAAGTATTTAATTACTACACATATAGAGAGTAGAATGCCTAGATTAACTATCTAAATACCAGTGGCGGATCTTGGAGGTGTGCAGAATAAATTTCAAAGCTTAATTTTAAATTCAAAACACCTTAATAACAACGCTATTGGTTATAGATTTGAAAAGAATATTTTTACATCAAATCTGCCAATGCGATTGCGATTTTAAGCTGTCGTAATTTATTCTGCAGTTATAGACCACACACAAAGAAATGTGAGTCAAAGATGTATAGAATAAAAGTATATTATATTACTAAAACGTTTACTGTCCAAATGTACAAACTTCCAACCCCTTCAAATTCATTCTACCGCGCATGTCCCTCCAGGCCAGACCACTGGCCAACACTGCACATCCCGCAGATCCGCCACTGCTAAAATACAGACTATAATTTATCAAAAAACGTTTAAGCATCAAAGAGTCCTAAAACGTCATAAAAAAGTCGGTATCTAGGAGTCCTAAAAAGAGGAGTTAATATGTTTCTCCGCGATAAAGTTAATATAAACTAACCATGCATAGACACACGCCATTAACGAATTAAACTGAATTAAACTGACAATCAGCCTGAACTAACTTGGGCTAGAAAGGATTAAAGTGCTACTGCAACGAAATTTTCGACCCCTTTTTTACTGGCTCAATTTAAAGTGCTCGCTTTCCTGATTTCATTTCTGAAAACAGAATCAAAATTGGCTTTCTCAAAAGATTTTTATAGCTCTCCAAAGTCGCGATTTTTGCCACTTCCTGTGCGAACTTTTGCTCCGCCATATTGTGGTTTGTGACGTAGAAAAGAGTACCGATTCTTAGCATGGCGTAAAAATACTAGTGTTAAGTAGCCTCGTCGACGAAGAAGCTGTGTTTCTTACAGTCCTTACTAAGCCAGTATTCATCAAAATTATTAAATATCTATACATATGTTCCTAACAAAAAGATGGATCGCCAAAGTCGAAGAAAATATTGAATTTTGTCCCGACTTTCTGTCTCATGGTGCGGTTCTTTGCGCGGCTAAGTCGATTTCAAAGATTCGTATATGACTCTTGTTTAGCAAGATCCCTTAAATAAAAGAGTATTGAAAGAAGATTCAGTGCATACATTTTATGTCTGAAGAATCGTAGCAAAAGTTGAAAGCTAACAGATATATAGGCAAAGGCTGATTTTATCATCAATGCGATACTTCGCGCGCACATGCATTAAAGATGAATTATAATGATGTTGGCCTTGGTGTCTTAATGTGCATCGCCAGTGTCGTCTCTTAAGACATTGAAGATCAATTTAAATCAGCAAGGATGGTGTTTCTTGAGTATTTACGTAGATAAACGGACCTGTGTTAGTGTGTGTTTGATATATTTGGATACGCGCTATTGCAAAACAGTGGCAATGTGGCATTTACAAATAGTGCAGTATCATATTACTGTTTATGGTTTGCGGGAATATATCGCATAGCATACACCAATATTATCAGTAACAAGGACATCATATCATTGCCTTCGTCTTCTTTTACTGAAAGCCTAAGCAGTTTTTTTAAGTTCTTCAAGATCGTCTTATGTAGGACTTTGTGGCATAAAGGACTTTGCGGCACAACATATACATGCTTATATATGGCATATATTACTACATTATATCCCTGTCAGCCGGGCCTAAGACTAATTTGAATTTTCTAACAAATCGGCGTATATTTTCAGACCCTTTACCAGGCATTCCTTGAATATATGTTAGGTAACAGACTTAACTTCCATTTCAAAATAAAATGATTTGGTTCTCCGCGTCAAGCTCGAAAATTCGAAGCGGACAACACACAAGCTATACATATTACCATAAGCCTCGAAACATCGGTACTCGTTATGACGTCACATCAGCAAACATAACGGCTATAAAAGTTCGCATTTGATACTGAGGTTTGAGGGCAAAATTAGTCAACTTCTACTTAACACACAAAAGTCATATATACATCAAATTGTTTCTAAAAGGCTGAATATTTGTTTAGGCTAATAAAAATGGAGTCGAAAAATTCGTTGCAGTAGCACTTTAATTAATTGAAACAAACTTCGCAGATAATATGTCTGACGGATGACCCGCCTTTTTAATGGTGTTATTCACAAAGATTATCAAAAGAACTATAACAACAACAGAAGAATACTGGAGTTGTTTTGAGAAATATGAGATGCCCAAGAACACAAATTATTTCATTTACGTTTAACACGTGACAATCGATGTTGTGGTCTTCTTCTCTGCTGTGTTCGTTGTGTCTCGGTGAAAAAAGAATTCCTCATTGCTTCGTCAGCATATGGTCTATCATCAATCTTGTGACTAATCAGCCACAACACTAACTTTTGAGCTTCGCGGTCATCAAGTTTCTTCAAATTGACAGGATTACCCTCTAAAATATTTTTCATTCGATCTAACTCAGATCCAAAAGGGTGTTCACCTTTAGTTAAGACGTAGAAAGCAATCATACCCGCGACCTGGACATCTGATTTCTTTTTAAAACGACCCTTTTCTTTTTTAACTATTGCTTCAATTACTTCTGGTGGCATCCATCCACGAGTACCTTTAGCATCTGTTTCAACTGTCGTTTCTTCTTCATTAAGAACACGGCTTATTCCAAAGTCTGCCAATTTCATGCGACCCTCGATATCAACCAGAATATTTGATGGTTTTAGATCTCTGTGCAATATTCCTTTATCATGAAGAAATGCGAGTCCGGATAAAATTTCCCAAATCATTCGTGGACCACGCTTTCGTAGATATTCAATTTTAGATGCATCAACAAGTTCCCTCAAGTTTTCTTCGCAAAGATCAACAATAAGATACATAAAATCATCGCCACGGTAAAAATGACGATAGTGCACAATAAATTTACATCTGTTAGTTTTTATGAGACTCATTATTGTCTTTTCATTTTCAACTGTTTTATCCTCACTTTGTACTAAAATTCTCTTAACGGCAACTTCACTTCCATCTTTCATGAGACCAACATAGACACGTGAACCACCACAACCATCGCCAATTTTGAGTTCATTTTTTGCCACAAAAGCCTGCATCGGTACTTCAGTCTATGGAACAAACAACATATTTTCTATCATGAGTAGGAACTAGGGATTCAAGTTTTGAGGCTGTTTCGATGTTTAATCACCGAATGTCCGTCCTAACTTATAACCAACTTTGATTCTCAATGACATGCTGACATGGTTAATTACATATCTGCTATACATACCTATATGTATATCAAACCTTACAATCAGGATTATCACTTCTCAGTACTAGTAAAATCTAGAGTACAAGGTTAAACATAACTCGAAATCAAGGTTAAACATAACTCGAATCTTGGTTGTGTTGAGTTACAACCAAGCGTCGAATCACAAATGGATTAAAATTTTCACTCAAATTGTTTGTAACATTTTCATTTAATACGCTATGATTCCTCAGGGTATTTTTTTGGGAAAAACCTTTATCCTCTAACCAGTTATAAAATGAAGCGTTCTTGTTTTATATTGAAGATCTTGAAAATTTATTATAGACGCGTTAGCTTAATATATGGTAATTGCACTGAGTGGAGTGTAATTTGGAGTGAAATCAAACGCCTGATTACAAAATGGCACGACCGCAAAGCGGGAGTGCGATTTGTAATCACAAGTTTGATCTCACACCAAAATTGCACGACACGAAGTGCAATTTCCACTTTATTATATGCATTTTGAAATCATACAAAAAATTAAACAAATTCAAAACGATTTATTGGCTGAAAGAACCGTAAAGGGTGTAAAATGTGAGGAATTTTCGTCTATTTTTGTCAAGAAATTTTGCAGGTCACTTAAAAATCAGAATAATAAAATTTTGTGCCATTTTCCCCTGTAATTTGATTGGTTAGTTACACTGAAATACTAAATCTGATTGGTTATTGTTGGGCAGAGCTTCAATCCTATTGGTTTATGAATGATGTGATTAATGCTCAAAAATAGTGCAATTTGGAAATCAAATACACCATTTTTAATCAATCAGATTGCAAGAAACACCATTGATTTAAAAATGAATATAATAAAAGGAAAAATTATACTCCAAATCACATTAGCCACAATCTTGTCATGGCAACTGGAGCAATTTCGGAGTAAACAGGTTTCAATACATCGTGTATGTGTCTGTTCGTCAAGTAGAAAAATTTCAACTTTATGATGTCTATTTTAAAAGTTTAATAATTTTGAAAAAAATTGAGCAAGATACATACATAATATATAATAATGAACATAAACAGTGCCAGCGCACCGTGCGGTTTATGTCAGCTGAAACGTCTATTCGCATAATTCACGCATGAATTGAACCCCAATATAAAAAATACCAGGCCATAGTTCGTCAAAATATAGATGTATATTTACCATATATTATTGAGTGCTGTCTTGCGCAGTTCAATAAAAATCGAATTTTGCGGGGGTAATTAAATTCCTGGCTTTATATAACACATAACACATACATGTACGCATCATGAAAATAAAATGCTTTAAAAACCCATAGTAACGACCGAGATTTTTCGATACTTTTTTGCAAACTTTGGAAAAGCTTGAAGATTTTTTAATCAGAAAACTGAAATCTTTTAATCTCCTTCCAATCACTGAATATTTTACAATAGGTTACTACAAAAATAACTGACTGCATGTCCGACTAACGAACTGACTGATGTGAATTTTCACCACTTACCATAATATTGAAAAGAAAAAAAAAACCCTAGACAAAATTTTTCAAAATATCTTTCATCTTTACAAGCTAGGCTATTGCGGAAGTGAATATTGAAATAATCTCCATTTAATTTACGAAGTCTATATATATCTCGCTATCGTAGCCAAACGGCCTGAACGCTAAAGGATAAATAAAACCTAATTGCTTTAGTCGCAGTCTGCATGCATGGTAACGTAATTTTGATGCTGCTAACCGTCTACGAAAATCTCCTGATAACCTTTTGTATACTAGTGACTACGCAAACATGTTAAAACAACTTCATATAATTTATTCTAAATATTACCTTTTCTAACTGCTTACAGTCCGTTGTTTTCAACCTCTGAATTTTCTCACGATGTTTTACGGATCTTTTAAGTGTAGTCGTAATTTCAACATGGTCATTGAAAATACTCCATTCAAGAAGATACATTTGCCTTCCTTTAACAGGGAAAGTCCCGGATCTCCACACAACGTTCTTTTCCAACAGAAGCTTTACCAAATGAACTGAATTATTTACAACAGCTATCTTCAGGACGTCAAATCCAAGAGTATGAACACTGATTTTACTGTTCAGAGTAACGTCAGCACCCTGCTCAACTAAATACTTGACAATTTCTAATACACAAAAATCGACAGCAGTGTGCAAGACTGACAATCCATTAGCACCTTTACCATTTACATCAGCGCCCTGTTCAACAAGATATCTCACAATGCTAAATTCACCATCTCTCACAGCATGATGTAGAACTCCCTTTCCATTTACATCAGCGCCGTTTTCAACTAGATAATTAACTATTTCTAGCCCACCTCTAGTAACAGCCCTGCTCAGAACTGTCCTCCCGGAAGTATCCTTGCTATTTACATCAGCGCCATGTTCAACAAGGTATTTCACCATTCCTAGGTTACTTTTAAAAACAGCGTTGTTCAAGACTGTCTCACCATCAGTATCCTTGCTATTTACACCAGCGCCCATTTCGACAAGAAGTTTTACCATTTCTAACGTACCATTATTAACAGCATTTCGCAGCACTGTCCAACCATTAGTTTTCTTACCATTTACATCGGCGCCATGTTCAACAAGATATTTTACGACTTCTACGTTATGCATAGCAACTGCACTTTGAAGCACTGCCCAACCGTCAGTTTTCCTACCATTTACATCGGCGCCATGTTCAACAAGATATTTCACTATTTCTAGCGTGCCTTTAGTGGCAGCACTGTGCAGGACTGTCCGCCCGGTAGTATCCTTGCTATTTATATCAGCGCCATGTTCAACAAGATATTTTACCATTTCTAAATTATTTTTAGAAAGAGCGTAGTTCAAGACTGCCCTCCCGTCAGTATCCTTGCTATTTACTCCAGCTCCCTTTTCGACAAGATATTTTACCATTTCTAGCGCACCTTTGGTAACAGCAGTGTGTAGCACTGTCTTCCCGTTACTATCCTTTCCATTTACACCAGCGCCATGTTCAACAAGATATTCTACAATATCTGGCCTACCTGTAGTTACAGCATATTTCAGCGCTGTCCACCCTCCTCTATCCATTCCATTTACATCAGCGCCAAGTTCAATAAGATATTCTACAATTTCCAGCCTACCTGTATTAACAGCATAGTTTAGCGCTGTCCACCCTTCTCTATTCATTCCATTTAGATCAGCGCCATGTTCAACAAGATATTTTACCATTCCTGTGTTATTTTTTGAAAGAGCGTTGTTCAAAACGGTCCCTCCGTTAGTATCCTCGCTATTTACACCAGCTCCCTTTTCGACAAGATATTTTACAATTTCTAGCGAACCTTTGGTAACAGCAGTGTGTAGCACTGTCTTCTCGTCAGTATCCTTTCCATTTACACCAGCGCCATGTTCAACAAGATATTCTACAATTTCCAGCCTACCTGTAGCAACAGCATACTTTAGCGCTGTCCAACCTCTTCTGTCCTTTTCATTTACATCAACGCCACATTGTTCAACAAAATATTTGACAATTTCTGTTACGCCAACACCAACAGCATGATGTAAAGCAGTTTTGCCCAACTCATCTTTGCAGCTTAAATCAGTACCACAATATTTAACCAAAAATTTCACAACTGCTAATGATGGAGACTGCATTGCACTCTGAGAAGCTATTTGATCATAAAGAAAATGTTTCGGACCATATTCGCAGACATTTATATTCTTGCACTTGCTTCTTGTTCGTTACAAATTCCTATTATAAACGTGAATGATGTAAATATGAGGCGATATAATTTCGAGGGGGGCTTGACCCGTTCAGAATATACTTTAATTGCAAATGTGTAGTTTGTATTAGTTCTATTTTTTCCAGGGTATTAGCAATATTGTTTTATTCTTGCTATCAGTTAAACTCGACCTGCTGATTACTAATGTTTTACCCAAACTGTTTTGTTCTTGACTGATTTATTTCATGGTAAATATTCAGTTCGTTCGCCATCTTAGACCGAATTTCCAAAAAAATCTTTTGGTAACTGGGCATTTGTGACGTCGGGTGCAGGGTAGATCAAATATATTGGAAGAAAAAATTTCAGTATGTGATAATGCAAAGACTCAGGTGTGTATATTAAATGTATATGTGATGTTGCTACTCTGAGTCACCAACCGGGCAAGCTGAAAAATTATCTTGACCACGGGGGGGGGGGGGAGGATTTCGGGGCTATCGCTTGTGGCTACTATGATTTTATCCGACCTACTGGTGAGTGTTCAGAAGATATGTGGAAATGTGCCGATACTACAATTTCAGACGTCATTCCTAAACACAGCAATACTGAGCAAACAGCAGCTGTTAATAAAATTGTTAACTGATCCGAATCAAACGTGATCAAATGGGGGTTTCATTGCTATAACTATAATTGCTCAATACAGCAGCACACACGAATATAGCAAAATTTGTATGCTTTTTGTAGCAGGGTTGTAGTTCATTGTACTTTCAATATAACAATAGAGTTCATATTCGCGGGCATAAATGTGTTTTTGGCCCGATTCGATTTCAAGATGTGTTCTAAACTGAGGAAGGCGGTCAGCATGGGTTGTACTCTCCAAATCCACAACCCAAATATATATATTTATATTATTTGTATTTGATGTATTTCACTATAAATCTGAATGTGTTATGTGATAGACGACATTATAATTTGATTTATAAACTACGTTTTCATAATGACAAAAAATCAAATCAAAATATTCGCGTGCAAAAGCCAGTCGAGGCGTAAAATAAAACTTCGGAAGTTGTATGAGACGTCTGATGTTATATTTCATGCTAAAGAATAGTTAAAATAATTTACCATAACGCTGACTAAAGATGAGTAACTTAACTTCGAAAAAAATGTAAAAATCTTGTAAAAAACTTTGATTCTTTAAAAATATACGGCCGTTGCGACTTCCTATGACTACCGTGCTTCCACGCCCAGAAAAATATTTTTATACTTCTTTTCTCACATACCATGTACTCTCCAAGCCCTCAACCCACATAAATTTTCTAACTCTCATGTTACTATCCCTATGCTCAACTAATTTCGTTTAACCGAGGCGACGGATTGCTGCATGCATGTATTTCTAGTAGTAGGCACTGAAGCGTCACAGCCGGTTTTCTGAAATGAACTGTAATATACTGTATACAGCTTGGGTGTCCCAAAAAACGTCCCCTCTATTGAAATCAAGCCTTTGTTAGAATCTGATTGCTTTAATATTAAGATGAACCCAATTGAATAGTAAGATGCTTTATTTGAATGCCTCAACCTAATAACTATGCTATTTACGCACTACTGCTTTGATCATGCATTCAAATTCCAACAAAAGCTTCATTTGAAAAGGGGGGACTTTTTTGGGGGACACCCTGTACAGGATGTATATAAAAAAGAAGACCTTTACAAATTAATCTATTGTTATACCTGGCCATCAGGCATCACTATGCTAAGCCTATTTATGCATGATGTATAAAATATTGAAAGCTTTGTGCATATATTACACATATCCTTGTTACAAGCATAAAAGCCTTTCTTCATGCAACTGAAAATTTGACATAACTTCTAAAAAGCAAAATTATGCGCAATAATGCATGGTCAAATCGTTCAGTTTTCTCGTCCAGACCTATATCCAGACGTAAAGTACAGCTGTGTTACAAAATGCGTTTTGAGAAAGGTTCTTGATTGAAATCCACCGGTGGAAAGCACAACCTTGAAAAACGCCGGTGCGAAATTAATGAGCAGTAATATTAATTCGTGACATGCATTAGATTTTAGTCGATTGTTTGCCCACCTGTGGGCTTAGCAAATTGATCAGGGGCCGGTTGTTCGAAAGGTGGATAAGTCGCTATCCAACGGATAGGTTTTATCCAGCGTGTGATTTGCGTTGCACGAAGCTTGGATAACTTTATCCAGCCGATAACACTGAGAACATTTACGATAAAAAAGGACAAAAATGCAATATTCCTGTTACTGTGTTTCAACAAACTAATGCACATGATTGTACACACTATTAAAAATGTTTTCGAAGTGCAATCCAGCCAATGTTTATATATTTGTCGCAGCAGCGTTTCACGTTGCCTACGGCAACACATTCCGTTCCGAGCGGCGATTTTTTTGGACATCCTCACATTGATAACAGGCGTTAAATTATTATATATACGCTTCTAATCAGTTTATAAAAAGCGATTACATATGCAAAGAAAGATACAACCTATTCCAAGGAGACTTGCTAATATCTAATTAATTTCACTCACGCAATAGACAAGTATAGACAACAAGGCTACGAATTTTGTTCTCCGCCAGGTATTATAGCCAACCAAAACATTAAAATAGTGTTCCTACATTTGTAATGGAACCGAAAGGCAAAGCGTCGCAAGGTCAAGGAATAAAATTGCAATGTGCATATTTAATAAAATCACTATTATGTGAAGTGCAAAGTTTTTTCCATTCTGTAACTACTCGAGACTTCATAATGATTATGAATTAAAATTTATAAATGCCTAGCAAAAGCAACAGCTGACGTTGTGGTACGAACTTCAAGATAATCCTGTTTTCTCCTGGTAAATTTTAACTTATCTATTGGATAGCTACCCATCAACTACCCATGCTTCGTGCGACACGTTTTTATCCAATAGATAACTATCCACTGGATAGCAGATTTATCCGCTGGATAGGACTTATCCGATGGATAAGTTATCCATCTTTCGAACAACCGGCCCTAGGCATTTAAATTATAGCAATAGTTTAATTTCCAAACTTAAAAGGTCTTCTTTTTTATACACTCTGTATTATACAAAAAGTTTAAAGACAATAGACAAAAACTGCGTGTATATACAAGACAAAATGGTATGCGGCTCAAACTTATAGATAAAGATAGAGTGTATGAGAAAGAAGTTATATAGTGTGTGAAATATTAGCAATGTTAATACATAAACGGAACAGGAGAATAATTTATTTCGAACATTAACTACGGTGAAGCAACTGACTAACACACGACCATTTACATTTGTGAACGGATATTACACACTTTTATAATCTATAACATTCTAGACTCGAAGTGGATGTCATGTATATGCAAACAAATGGTTTGTTTGCATTTTGAACTTCGATAATTTTTAAAATACCATGTGCTGTGTGAATATCCAACAACATTTAGGTTCGCTATACGCTGCTAAATGAATATATGAACTAGTGTTTATGTTCAGATCTATAGAAGCCAATTGACAAAGAGTGCATGGACCTTAATCGTAAAATTAATAGTCCTTAAGATTTGAAATAGCTAGACCTCTGCGGTAAAGATGAACGCTGCTGTCGTTGATATACAATTCACATAGTATCTCAATCACACACGAATGCGACACACAATACTTCGCACAAATATGTTCCTCGTCTGGATCATAATATTAAACCTGACTGCTAGGCGCTTCCGAATCGGTGTCGTGTCGTGCTGAAGTAAATAACTGTGCTATAATCTATTTACTTACCTTCGATGGTTTATGTCCTACATCATAATAGCGTCGATCGATACAGCACCAAAACCGAAGCAAATGTATTGGATAAAATTCCTGTCATCTACGACAAACCAAATTGGCAAAGCTAATAAATTAATAATCTTCGAAGAAAACAATTATTACACAATCCTAATGCAATCTCGATTGTGATTGGCTAAAAACCTACAAATAATTCTCAATGCTTTGCCACCTGCACGAAATTGAAAATTACCCGTAGGTGACTTAATTTTTTGCCGGTAGTTTGTTGTCAATAATGGCACAGGCTTTCTCTCTAAAAAATAAATGCATAATAAAACAATTATTGAATTCCGATAGATGACACGTGTAACATTGCGAAAGACAGGCTGCTCTCAGATGATACGCTGTCTAAAATGTCTAGCCTTTCTTCCGGAAGTATATATGAACTACTGAAATTGTGCTTGAATACAACTAATTTTCAGTGGCGTGAGAAATGCTAGGTGCAAACACCTTGTGCTCCTATGGGTAGTCCTTTATCACCAGTTATGGCCTATTTATTCCTGGAAGAATTTGAAAAGAATTTGAATTTCTCAATTTCTTCTGCGAATGTCTTACGGAATTTGTTTCAGTTTCGAAGTTGTTAATGGCCTTCTCAACGCTGTATCATTCCCAATACAAGCGGACAGTTTTTACTTGCAATATAAGCGGTCAAGCAACTGGTGGCATTTTACCAACATAGAGAAATTTAATTACCCTCATGAAGGCCCGGTTTAACGGACTGAAAGCTTTGCAGTATTAAATACTTACGTGGTGTACCTACAAACTAACTAAACTAATTTATTTATTTAATTGATGTCGCCATGTATGCAAACGTACAAGAATATTATAAAAAATTTGCTCAACTTGACTTCTCTTAAAAGAAAATATGCATATATTTCGCTAGCTAGCATTTCTCTGCAGGAGGAAATCCAGCCGAAGCCAACTTACCGTGCCAGAATTGTGGCTAATTGCCTTTAATTGCATGATAATATTCAAAGAATTCTGGTCTTTATAGTTAAATAATGTTGTGAGACTTCGTAATAAATAAGGGTTTTTCTTCGTTTTCTGGTTTCTTGTTTTAAGTGAGTGATCATCACAGCAGCAATAACGAATGCCACTGACGACAGCGGAGATAGTCAGCGATGATGGTAGGTTTGTTAGAATGTAGATTACAAAGATCTTTATTTAACATATCGTCAATGTTGTAGGGTATAAACCATTCAAGGTAGGAAATTGATAAATAACTTTGTGTAATATCACAGTAATTTGTTTGAGTAACGACAGTTTTCAGAAGCCATAGGAAATTTTGTGAAATGCAGCGCATTTGTCAGGATTGTGTATCAGTGTATGGTCTAATTACTTAATTCAACATGGCTTTTATCGATTGCTACGCAAGACGAATTTTATATATATGAGTGACTTGGGCAATGCTCATGCTAAACTTAGAGATCTCGATCTATCTCACCAAGAATCAATCTGCAATGGCTATCCTGAGAAACGCGCGCTAAATTGATGGGTTCATAATTATTCGCAAATTCGTAGCTGTGTGACTGCCGGATTTCATTCAAAAGCGAATGTTGTTACGGTGATTGAAAATGCATCATTATACAACCACAATTAAGCCTGGTTTCCATTTAATCGTAAATGTGTCGTGAACAAGTGATTTTAACCGATGACAAAGTTCATGCACATATAAATTTATCTTGTTGGCTGCACATGCACACATGGAAATACTAAGTACCTCAGCCTCTATGGCATGTTCACGACACTTGATTAAATGGAAACCAGGCAACACGTCAAGGTATTTGACGAATTAGAATATTGCTACGTGTTTGCAGTGAACAATGATAATTTACATGCAAAGAATAAGGAGTAAATTGCCTGCTTAATGGCGTGGGAAAACGGGTGATGTTTACTTCACTTTTATGACTGTATTTGTTACGGAAAAATTGAAACATCATGCAGCTTTCGAATCATCTGAGTCATTTCATAAATCATTAGCTTAGCCTGGGATCTGGCTTAGTAAATTATTCAGCTTCGTTTGAAATGACGAGGGGATGTTTTTAATGCATGTACAGTACTGTCCAGGAAAACCAGGTCAGCCGATGTCGTACCGCGGTGAGAGCGTGAGACCAAATAACCTAACACGGCGGTTGCCGATTCGACAGACATTAATTCTTAAGATGTTTTTTATTTGATTATTGTGTTGTCGTTATCGGCAGTTTAGAACATTCCGTTCGGAAGCGAACGGCAAACGCGATCGTATTTTTTCCCCTTGCGCGGTCGTCTGCGGTTTCTGCAGTTTTAGGTTATTACTGGACAGTACTATATTTCTAGTAAAATTCTATTATGGGTTACAAAAATTATATCGAAGCTTGCCTTTTAGGTAAAGGTGGACATGCAACGGTCCATTTTCATAATATGAAGTTTGAATTTTTTTAGGGATAGCCGTTTTGCTCAAAGATGGCGACTTCACCAAATAAGATCAGAATGACTGAATCAATAGAAAAAAATAATGTCATCATATCCCAGCGTGAGGAGAGCGACCAAACTTTAATTATGGCAGTAAAGAATCGTACAGCAACGTCGGGGAAATTAGATGACGTGTCTGCGTTGGGAAATAAACAATCCAAGCCTGTTGTTAATGAAAAAAAAGAAATTGAAGTGGAACTTCAAGGAGAAAACATTGAAAACGAAAAATGTCATAATGGTATGAAATTATAAAACATTTATCTAAGAACCAGACTGGTTTATATTAATTGACTCTACCGGAAAAATTAACAAAACTGTGACGTTTTAAGCAGGGAAAACGAACTAAGGTCAACTAACTTCCAAACCAAAGCCCTTATTCGGTTATCGTCTTAATATTAACATGAGAAAATTTCTGGACGCTAATTGATCAAGAAGAATGCAGTCATTTCACCAATTATATATATTCTGTAATCTTTGGAACACGCTGCAACTTCACTGGCAACCCTTTCACTTTTGCTCATAGCCAATAAAAATAACATGTCATTTGTGCATGATAAGAACTCGCCCTGGGGTTGCGTGGCCCCTTTGTTTTGTTTGACCGTGCATCTAATTAATTGAACACGCAACGGTTCAATGTTATCTATTTGTTAAATATAGGTAGTGATGTAAAGCAAGGGGAAAGTGAAAGTGCAAACGTCTGTGAAGAAGGAAAACATAAATTTTGGGACGAAATAAGAAAGCAAGTTGAATGTGGTGAAAACAAAGAAGATCATTGGCAGAGGACAATTCTTTGGCGTGCTTTTCAGTTTAATCCAGTAGATCAAAAAATTGCTAAATATTTAGTTGACCATGGAGCAGACATTTATTCCCAGAACGAAGAAGGTGAAACAGTACTGGGGATTGCGACAAGAAATGGTTTACTCGATCTTGTTAAGTATTTTGTTCAATATGGCCCGAAACGAACATTTCGAGATGATTACAGATCTCTTCAGAGTGCAATACAGTCTCAATCATTTGAAATTGTGGAATATTTCGTTAAAAGGGGCGCTAATGTAAACGGAAATTATACTGATGGGGAAACAGTGCTGCATTTTGCAGTTATTGAAGGTACGCTTGAAATGGTGAAATATCTTGTTGAAAATGGCGCTGATGTAAATGGAAAGGATACTAAAGGGTGGACAGTGCTGCACAATGCTGTTACTGAAGGTAAGCTAGAAATCATAAAATATCTTGTTGAAAATGGCGCTGATGTAAATTGCAAGTATACTAATGGATGGACAGTCTTGCACTATGCTGTTAGCAAAGGTACACTAGAAATGGTAAAATATCTTGTTGAAAAGGGCGCTGATGTAAATGGAAAGGATACTAAAGGGTGGACAGTGTTGCACTACGCTGTTACTGAATGTCCGATGGATATAGTAAAATACCTAGTTGAAAATGGCGCTGATGTAATTGGTAAGACGACGAACGGGTGGACGGTGCTGCACGATGCCGTTAGCAAAGGTACACTAAAAATGGTAAAATATCTTGTTGACAATGGCGCTGATGTAAATGGAGAGGATACTGACGGGTGGACAGTGCTGCACAATGCTGTTACTGAAGGTAAGCTAGAAATCATAAAATATCTTGTTGAAAATGGCGCTGATGTAAATGGCAAGTATATTGATGGATGGACAGTCTTGCACTATGCTGCTAGCAATGGTACACTTGAAATGGTAAAATATCTTGTTGAAAATGGCGCTGATGTAAATGGAAATGATACTGACGGGTGGACAGTGCTGCACAATGCTGTTACTGATGGTAAGCTAGAAATCATAAAATATCTTGTTGAAAATGGCGCTGATGTAAATGGCAAGTATATTGATGGATGGACAGTCTTGCACTATGCTGTTAGCAAAGGTACACTAGAGATGGTAGAATATCTTGTTGAAAAGGGCGCTGCTGTAAATGGCAAGAATACTTACGGTAGGACAGTGTTGCACTGCGCTGTTACTGAATGCACGATGGATATAGTAAAATACCTTGTTGAAAATGGCGCTGATGTAATTGGTAAGGCGACAAACGGGTGGACAGTGTTGCACTATGCTGTTAGCAAAGGTACACTAGAAATGGTAAAATATCTTGTTGAAAAGGGCGCTGATGTAGATGGTAAGAATACATACAGTAGGACAGTGTTGCACTACGCTGTTTCTGAAGGTACGATGGATATAGTAAAATACCTGGTTGAAAATGGCGCTGGTGTAATTGGTAAGACGACGAACGGGTGGACAGTGCTGCACAATGCTGTTAGCAAAGGTACACTAGAAATGGTAAAATATCTTGTTGAAAAGGGCGCTGATGTAAATGGAAAGGATACTAAAGGGTGGACAGTATTGCACAATTCTGTTGCTGAAAAAAGGCTAGAAATCATAAAATGTCTTGTTGAAATTGGCGCTGATGTAAATGGAAAGTATACTGATGGATGGACAATCTTTCACTATGCTGTTTCTAAAGGTACACAAGAAATGGTGAAATATCTTGTTGAAGAAGGCGCCGAAATAAATGGAAAGGATACTGACGGGTGGACAGTGCTGCACGCTGCTGTTACTGACGATAAGCTGGAAATCATAAAATATCTTGTTGAAAATGGCGCTGATGTAAATGGCAAGTCTACTAGTGATGGATGGACAGTCTTGCACTATGCTGTCAGCAAAGGTACGCTAGAAATGGTGAAATATCTTGTTGAAAAGGGTGCTGATGTAAATGCTAAGAGTAATTACGGTAAGACAGTGTTGCACTACGCTGTTACTGAATGTACGATGGATATAGTAAAATACCTGGTTGAAAATGGCGCTGATGTAATTGGTAAGACGACGAACGGACGGACAGTGCTGCACAGCGCCGTTACGAAAGGTACGCTAAGTGTGGTAAGATACCTAGTCAGAAATGGCGCTAATGTAAATGGTAAGAATTCTGACAAGTCGACAGTCCTGCACAGTGCTGTTAATAAAGGTACGCTATATACGGTAAAATACCTCGTTGAAAATGGCGCTGATGTAAATGGAAAGAATACTGACGGGTGGACAGTCCTGCACACTGCTGTTACTAAAGGTAGCCTGGATATCACAAAGCACCTCGTGGAAAATGGCGCTGATGTAAATGCTAAATATACTGACGGTTGGACCGTCCTACACGCCGCTGTCGATACAGGTGAATTAGAAATTGTCAAGTATTTAGTTGAACAGGGTGCTGACATAGCTCCTAAAAGTAATATCAGCGCTCTTGGCACTGACATCATGAGGATGGCTGTTGTGAACAATTCAGTTGCTTTGGTGAAACTCCTCTTGCAAAAGAACATAGTTGTTTCGAGAGCTGGAAAATTTCTTGTCGAGGGAAGGCAAATGAGTCTTCTTGAATGGAGTATTTACATTGGCCATGATGAAATTAAAACTATTCTAAAGAGGTCCATAAAACATCGCGAGAAAATTGAGATGTTGAAAACAATGAACCACAACCAGTTAGAAAAGGTAATTTTTGAAATACATAATCACACAGTTGTTTTAATCAGTTTTGCGTATATAATAAAGGTGAAAATGGAGTTTATGATCTACGCTGTCGCACCGCGAAGACGAGCATTTAGATTCCGCAGACAGTTTTCAATATTCGTTTGCACAATATAACTTATTACCAGATTTTGCCCTCTGCATCTAATAACCATCTCTTTCTCCAATAGACTGAAATACCGATTCAGGCTTTTGTCGCGAAGAATCAATTCAAAATTGGCGATGGTTGTGGTGGTTCACGTGTCTATGTTGGTCTCATGAAAGATGGAAGTGAAGTTGCTGTTAAGAGAATCTTGGTGCAAAGTGAGGACAAAACAGTTGAAAACGAAAAGGAAATCATGAGTCTCATTGAAACGGAAAACTGTCCATTTATAGTGAGCTATCGTTATTTTCATTCTGGCGATGACTTCATGTATCTTATTGTTGATCTTTGCGAGGAAAACTTGAGGGAACTTGTTCATGCATGCAGTATTGAGCATCTACAAGAGCATGGTCCACGAATGATTCGGGAAATTCTATCAGGACTTGAATTTCTTCATGGTAAAGGAGTATTGCACAGAGATTTAAAACCTTCAAACGTCCTGGTTGATATCGAAGGTCGCATGAAATTGGCAGACTTTGGAATAAGCCGTGTCCTAGAAGACGATCAAACGACAGTTCAAACATTCGTGAGAGGCACTCCTGGATGGATGCCATCGGAAGTAACTCAAGCCATTGAGAAAAATGAGAAATGTCGTTTTAAAAGGAAATCAGATGTCCAGGTCGCGGGTATGATTGCTTTCTACGTCTTAACTAAAGGTGAACACCCTTTTGGTTCTTCCTTTGATCGAATGAGAAATATTTCGGAAGGGAACTCTGTCAGTTTGAAGAAACTTGGTGATCGCAAAGCTCAAAAGTTTGTGTCGTGGCTGATCAATCATAAAATTGATGAGAGACCTTATGCTCACGAGGCGTTGAGGGATCCTTTCGTTGATGAACATTGACACAGTCGAAATACAGAACTTTTCTACGGAGATGAGGCAATTATCGTCGAAATTAATTACGAAGGAGTTTCGTGGACTTGAACATATGATATTTGTCAAGAAGGGGGGAGGGGGTTGACACTTTTCACACAAAGAAAAAAAATCTGAATGCAAAAACAAAGGCCTATAATAACTGTAATTAAACAAAGACTGAAAACCAATGTAATAATGAAGTTATATGTTGAAATAAACTGTTAAATACTGGATAGTGTCAGAGCATTCAATGTTGTGTGTATTTCAGATACGGCTTTCTACCATCTGTGACGATATTCACCCCCCTGTCAGAGCCTTGTCCCGTTATTCGCACGAAATCCGTACGGATTGTTTTGAAAAACTCGTGTGCAAATTTTACAAGATAGTAAAATGCTGTATTTTTCAAATTTTATCATCAGCTTTACCATGTTGACCGCTATGGTCAACTTACACTAAAACAGTTTACCTGTCCTAAATGAAATGCATACAAACTCATACACATGCAGGTCCTTGACTAATCAGGCGCATCCAGCTTCAGTTGAGTGATATAAAAGGATCTCAAAATTGTTCAAATGGCTGGGATAATGAGATTAATTATTAACATGATAAATATACTAGATGCTGATTGGTCATGAGCAGTACAGTTATCTCATTGATGATTTTTGCCAGAATAAACAAAATGGCTGTAAACTTAATAAACAAACTGAACAGCCTTAGAGGAAGAAAGCACAGAAAGCCAAAAGTACAAAATAATGGATGAAAGTCGGGATGTCAAGCAGGCCTGTATTTTGACAAACGCTTGCATTAAAAACAAGGGGCCATTGACATTTAGAGCTTTTTAAACTATTAACAACTGGGATTTTAAAGTACACATTTTTGCTGTCGTTGAAGCTTCCACTTGAATTATATTCATACATATTCAATATCCTGACGTAGTTAGATCTGCGAAAAAAACGTGCCGAAACCTAGAGTTGCTGGTCACCGGTGCCCCAGCGACTAATTACGTACTAAAGGATCTCGACGGGGCGTTTCAAAATTCAACTGATATTTTATGCTAATAATAAACAAATATGCATGCGGGATTATTAGAGATGTTTGAAAATTTTGCCAAATCCGACCCGCCCCGGCTTCGCCAGGCAAAGAATACGTATTACTAGAGATTATTTTTGTGTCCTCAAATTCTCCCAAAATGTACACGTCATGCATACGCCACCATACTTGCTGGAACATGGCTGCCTGTGATTTCTTACTATTTCTGCCGTTTTAGTAGTAGTTTGTTGGCTTTTAATTGATATAACTTAGTAAATTTATTTTCAAATTAATTTTTACCTCGCGAATGCCAAAGCATTAGTGAAATAGGTCGCACGGCAGATAGCATAAAAGAAATGACGTAATGACAAATGACGAATATCAGGCAATAAACATTCGCCAGCAAGTTACCACTGAGACGGACAATGTCCACCTTATTCATCTATGGCCTGGCTGATCCCGAAATGTACTCGCCATCGCATGATTGATTATCGTTAACAATTTTTATTGGCCAAAAGAAACTTCTAGGACGAACATGCGTTAAGTTGAAGTTAATTTACAAATCAATACAGAGTTAAAAAGTAAATTATATCGTCTGTAGTCTAGACGAAAAGTCTGAAAATGATGTAGCTAACTGCAGCAATTGTGTTGACATCGGAAATCTGTGTCCAACAATATACATATTTTCTTTCAATTTCAAACTGAAAATTTTAGGACCACAACATTCTCTGGCTCGTATGACCAAAAAAACCCGAAACCAGCCTGCATAATAATTATAGGTATTAGAAATGGTTGTTATATATGGTTAATTTTGCTTTCACTTACACCGTTACAGTACAAAATATATTAAACTTGCCTCAATATTCAATCTGCTTACAGTAAATAATATTTCCAACGAATACACAGCTAACTATTAACGCGGGTTCCTTTTTTTATCCTTGTAGATCTTTGATTAATGCGGCACTGATCTTGGCCCAACTTATAGAAGAGAAAATTGCACCACGCGGGGATGTTAAATTTTTATGGGGATTTTATTTGACTTGTCTGTATAAAAACACAGTTTATCACAAACTTTTGTACAGAGGATGTCCAAAGAACTCAAACTATGGTACCTACATATACCAAAAAAATTCTTAACGACGCGCTAGAAGACATATACCACGTGTGGATTCATTCTTTTTTTTACATCATGTATAGAAGAATGAAACAAAGAAACGAGATGCGTGAGCGTCACAGACGGATAAAATGCTAAAAAAATTAATATAAAAAAGACTATCAAGTAATTAATTCTGGCTTCCTATGATTCATGGCATAACATTTTCTCTTTTATTATATTCATTTTGAACTCTATGGTGTTTCTTGCAATCTGATTGGTGACTTTTGATTTCACACCAAATTGCACTCCACTCAGTGCAATTACCATTATTTATTTTCTTTAATCGTCTTCACAATTAAATTCAGCTTTCCGTACAACCTTTCTCATTATTTCCCTAAAAAGGTACAATAACTGACTTGGAAATAAATCCGGATATTTTAGTATGCATCAATTTCTTGACCCAATTTGTAAAATAGTAACAATTTGGAAGCATTTAAAATTTTCCGCGCGACAGTTGAAAGCAGCCCTAAGTCACAAATTTGCTACAATTCGACAATTATGTAAATGCGTCTGAAAAATAAAACGGTCTCACTCACCTAACCGAGATGAGCGTTTTTTCCTCGCTGTATTCCAACATCTCTGCAATGTAATGAACACAAACAATTAAACTAATAGAAAAGCTTTTAAGGTGGTTCGTAAATATAACGCGGCTCCCCACATTTTTGCCCAAAAATTATTTTGCCATGCACGAAACTCACTCCTGAGTGATATTAAGAGGAAATTTTCGTCAAATATGCGTGATATACTGTTATTATATTGTGGCTGGACAAACATGGTGGATTTCGTTTTAAAATAATACTTCCTGTAAAATGGTGAATAATATGTCGTTTTACTGGAAGAAGTCAAAATTTTGGCATTCTGATTATGTTAGCGAAAATGTAAACAAACTTGCTGATCTGTCTAAAACGAAATTCGCCTGGTTGGCTGGGCAGAGTACACAAGTGGCACTGAAAATCTTTACGTATAGAACTTCCGACATCCATTGGTCGAATAGTAAAAATCGATCGAGAATGATTTTCAACTCGAATTAACTTTTACATCTTAGATGCTACCAGAGAGAATCATTTTAAAAAAGTTCAATGACACAAATTATGAAAGGTAACTCAGTTAAATTACTCGGTGTTTTTTTACAATCTGTAAAAAGTACCAAGTACTAAATATACTAACTATACTAACATCTAAGCTCTTCATTTGCCCAAACCAAACACTGATTTTAGTCACAGTCACATTTTGTAATCAATTAATCCCGAGTCGGTACGTAGCGCCGTGCGAGGGTACTAATTCCGGTGGGCGATATAGTACACCAGGGTATTTCGACAGACCATAGTCGACGGTGACGGTCAACGACGGAAAAACACGTAAAATTAATATCTAAGTATTTTACGAAATGCTGAGCGCGCAATGCGTGAAAGTAGTTGATTTATAAGCAACTTTGAGTTGCGATATCGCTCTGCTTAGAAACGATTTTGTTTGGAAGAAAACATTGCCGATTCTTTTTACTTCTTTATTAAACTAAATCGCTCCTGAACATGGCGAAATCACAACTAAAATTGGCCTGGATAATTCACACTACGGTCACGCATTGCGCGCTTGAAAGCTATAAGGGTAAAGGTCTATTAGGTTGGAATTCCATTGGAGACAGTACTTAGCTATGTGAAATGTTTATGTTATACTAACCCTCGATAAGTTCAACCTCGCTCACTTGTTGCTCGCCCTCATGGAAATATCTCATTCGAAAGTTCTAAAGAGACGAGATGAGAATATGAGCTGAAGAACCTGCGAGAACGAATGATATAATTGTCTTACGATATCTATTGAGTTTTTTGAGATATATATTGTCGGATTTCACGAAGGACGTTATCAACAGTTCGGTTTTAAATTGTTTATCTTTGACAAGATCGGGGACAAAAGACTGGAGTATCCGTTGTCGTTCTTTCACAATACTTTTTTCCCACACGTACCAATTTCAGTGAGCACGGATGGCAAAATTGCTATCTTAGATCCAGAAAGCGGAACTTTATATACTGGAGACAGATATGCCGAGTTTAACAACTCTAGTTTCAATACGAGTTTTCAAATAAAGAAGCTGTCAAATTTTCCGTCAAGCAAGACAACAGTCAGAGTCGCAAGTGCTTCCAAAACTCTTTACATCTGCGCGGAAGATGGACGAGTGGATCACAAGTTTAAGATACCAGCACGCAACGCGGTCATTGATTCGATCGCAATCAATTACGTCACGGGACGCATTCTTGTTAAAGTGTCTAACAAAGAACAAGTTTACCGTTTCTCGGAAACTGGACAGTTCATAGACAGTTTATGTCTGGGAAGCAACGAGTGGATTCATGATGCTGTTTTGGCTTCACATCCAAATGGCGCGGTTGCCTTAATTGGTAAAACAGAAGCAACCTTTCATCATTAGTTGCATATAAAAATTTTTGATAAACATATAGCTATCTCTTTTCCCCAGTGCGAAAAAATCTTGCGGGCATTTATTTTCTCAGTCTCGTTATTTACCCTAAAGGAGTGATGAAATGAAGAATAGCCCATATATATTGAAACGCTGCAAAAAAGGTTAACATACAGGGGGTGATTGTATAATGAAGGCTGGGTAGCGCTATCCACCTGATAGTGCTATTTTCAACCGTTCTAGAAAATACATGAAAAGCAAAAAAATTAGCTTTGCAACGAAAATAAAGAATCCTCAATTTAGTAATACTAAATAACGGGCAAGTGAAAAAACACTATTCGGTGCATGGACAGCGCTGTCCACTGAACGTTTGTACAATCGGCCCCAGGAAACGTCGTTGATACGTTACTTGGTCGTTAAGTTGAATTATTGTGTTAATATATTGCGCATATTTCAGTTTAATTTTATTCCTTATTGCAAACAACGAAACAATTAATATATTTTTTCCTGGTTATCATATCTTGATCTCGGTAATCATAGCGGTCTCTCAGGCTGCTTTCAATCGGTCAAAATGTTCGAAACGGTCATATTTGAAATTGAAATAAGAAAAAAATCGGCAAAACCGCCTTTCACGTGCTAGGCAGATGCATATGTCAATGCTTGAATGCTAATTTAGGAAACATTCTAAAATACCATGTAATCTGTCTGCACTGAAATATAACACGACCAGTCTAGCCGTTTTACCTTATAAAGGATAGCGCACAAAGAAACACAGAACTCATTATTTCCCGAGGAGAAATACATTCTACATTATCTTATACATGTACATGGATTGATGGACACTTACAAATGGCCATGGCCACTGTTCAAGACGAGCGATGATCGACATTCTATCGACGGAATATTGGAACTTTGCATTATTCTTAGCCTCACTGTACGTGTCACTCAACTGCGCTATCAGCACATTGAGCAAAACCACGACTACCAGACCCGTGTAGACGAGAAGAAGAATGATGGTCAACCAGCTAGAAATGGAGAAACACAAACATAATCTTAATTAGTAAACAGAGTTAACTAGCAGAACACGAAATCCCTACTAGTAAATTTCTATACAATCATTTGATATAGCCTTTCTAGCTGTGGCGTACCTGGTTGTTATCGCTGACAGAAATCGCTGACAAATTTCCAGCAGAATTTGCCACTAGGAACGGATTACATGAACCTCGCAGGCCAGGTAAGAGAAGCCTGACTTGCGAGGTTGCGGATTACGTGAACATCGTGTAATTACCTGAATATTGTGTAGTCTTCTTCAACTACTTGTTGTTGCTCTGTGAGAACTCGTACAGCAGCCAGCAATAATTTACCGTAATTACTAAAACATAAGGCAGGGAAATAAGCGACAGCATATCAAAAGAACTTATGTGGCGTCCAGAAGTTAGAATGTCACATCTTGTATATAACGACTTGTTTTATTGTGACTTTTTAAATGTGTTTTCAAGATTCGCACTATTTATTTCTAACTAGTGACAAGTTTTGATCACGTCGTTTTTAACTGGTATCAAGGGGCCGCGGTTGTTCAAAAGCCAGTTACCTTAATCCTGGGTTTACGCAAATCTTTAGGTGAATTTTTTAATCGCTTCTTTATAAAAAGTTTGACACATTTCCAACAAATATTTTAGGCACCAACAGAAAGGTTATTTTGGAAAGTTTACAGGAGACGGATGAAAACATAACCCAGGTTTAGCACGGCCCCTCGCGGACGAGCAGTTGCGTTCCACCCCTTCCGCCCTTGCACTTTAGTTAAGGGTTGTTCTGTGTATAGGTATTACCTGAAAGTATCTTGTTTTCCTGTGGCTGTCAACGCCATGAAGAGAGCACCGCAGAAACCAACGCAAACAACAACAAACAAGACTAAGAACCGGCTTATGTCCCGATAAATGATTTTCGCCAAAGTCTTCGTGTACAGTCCAGTCGTCCTAAAGAGAAAATAATACATTGTCCAGTGTATTAGCAAAATTAATCTATTCGAGAATTTCCAGTTTTCAAAATCCATGTTATTGAAATAGTATGCCCGATACTTAAAATAGTATGGAAGTTTACAATATCCATGCTAATTGCCGTCTCCATTGTATGGCTATATATAGTAGGGAAAAAATTATACAATATCCATACTAATTGCGATTCCATAGTATGCATTTAAAAAAAAATTCCAGTGTAATAAGAGACGCCTTGCAAAACTAAAGACCATCGATGGTGCAAATTTTTAAGTCACACTATTTAAGTCACAAGCGAACAGACGTCTGTCCCAACGCAAGATGTAGGGACAGGATTTTAAATTATGTCAGTAAAAATCTAAGCTATCAGGTTAATCATAATCCTGATTCAAGCGGGTAAGTTTATTGCTAATATTTTAATGGTTAAATAGTTGAGAAAATGTTGGTTTCAGTACAGCAGACGTTCTGTAAGACGTTTTGTAAAGTTACAGCTGTATAATTACTTGGTAACACAGGAAAACTTGAAAATTCTGAGAAAATTGAACAAATATCCGAGACTTGCGATGCTCCATTGCGAACTTGAATCGGCGTAACGAAGTGGAATGATAATCAATGTCAGAAGCAGACCACACCAATCACAATAGTTGTAAAATTCTTTGAAATAGGTATCGTATTCCCTGAAATAAAAATTACGGTGATTCAATCGTGCATGTCTTGTATCATTCACACATGTCCTGCTTATATTATTCGCGTCAACCGGATTTTAAACAACCAGCTAAGAAGAAATCATCATTCAGTGAAAACCATCCACAGCAGGTTCTGAACCCTGCCCAGTATGATGTCTTGACTGAGTCATGATTGGGTGCTTTTAACATCCTGGGGCTGGTTGTATAAAATAATTCAACTACATTTTGAAAAGTTGAATCCTAGTTAACTCAGAAATACACGACTCTGATTGGCCAATTCCGTCCTTAACTACAGTAAAAAGTTAACCAGTCTTTTGTACAGCGCGAAACCTTTTTACCGCAAGTAGTCAAAATTTATACATTCTGATTGGGTTACTGAAAATGTAAACAAACTTGCTGATAGTTCTAAACGAAATCCCCCCTTGTTAACTAGAAACATAATTAGGTAACTTCAATTAACCTTAGCAAGTTGGCTTCAGGCAATGTTATAGAGATCCTGTAAGACTTTTCACCACAAACACTTACCGAACAATTTGAAAAATTTCTTCAAAGATGTAGAGCATGACGAAAATAATGCTAAGAACTTCACAAAATAGTCTAAAGTTGTCAGCTGGTCCGTCGTACTGGCTCGGATCGTCCCGGGTCGCCCCGTAGATCAATGCATAGGACAACAGCGCCAGAAATATCACGTAACCGATCGCCTGCAAGCTGAAATTTATTAAAAAATTGAGACAGAAAAAACACCCAGTGATGTTAAACTAACTTATTTATGCTGTTTAAATTCTAAAGAAAATACGCAAATATTTCGCTATATTTCTCTGCAAGTGGAAATGAAAAGAAATATCTCCACTTGCACGTACGTACACGCCGAAATCGCGCGTGCGTACGGCTTGCGGGCCTGTTTTGTTATACGTACAAAAAATTAGCTGCGACTGCCGGCTTAACGAACAGTTTCGAGTCACCGAGCATGCGCCAAAAAGGCCGCACTGACCGTACGTGCAAGTGGAGGCCGGTCTTTAGGGCTGCTTTCCACTGTCGCTATTCAATCGTTGATAACTTTTACGTGCGTATACCTATGCAGAAACGTCTGCACGGGGTTTCTGTCAGTCGTAAAATAGGAATGGAAAATACTGATTAGCAGGGCCGTAGCTGGAGGCAAAATTCCAGTGGGGGAGTGTATTAATATATCCTCGCTGATTTCATCTGTACGCTATTGTTCCTATGATATGTAAATGTTAATATATAAACATAAACCCCCCCCCCTCAATTTACGGTCCTGCACATTGGTGTTTCATGGCGTGGTTTCCGACATATGCATGGTATACGTATTGGATACGGTATGCCTATCGAAATTTCACTGATATTTGCAATGCTAGTCTGATTCACAAACTTTCTTAAGAAAAAGTGACGTTGCTATATGGTAAATTGCTATAATGTTTTATTGTTAGCCACCTATACTTGAATGACAGTAATTCTCTGAATGATAATATAACCAGGGAGTCTTGCTTTAATATCTCCCCTGAGGAAGACCCTTATAGTCGAAACGTCGAAAAGATTTTTCGTCCATTTTTGACTCAAGTAGGAGTATCAGGGAATCACTGCTAACGGTCTCGCATTCTTTAGTGCCATTAACTCGACCAACCTGCTTTGCGCACTCAGTATTAAAAACTTGTTTAATTGGTTAGTCTACTAGCCAACAAATAATCGGCTATTTGTATAACCGTGAGTCGTCTCATTGAGACCTTCGATTAAGCAGTTGTTTGTTATACCATCGATGAATGCTAAATTTCGGATAACCACACACAAAACCAAAAATAAACTTGAACAACATGTACAAAATGTACACAATCGAGCTATGAGAAATCCTTACGGGAATATTCAAAGAATATAGGCAGCTATACCTAAACCATAAATGAGCAAATTCCTTCCACTTTCTCCTTACATACATTCTGATCACAGGGTGCTGAATCGCCTCCTGCAAAGAAAAACGAGATAGCAAATTATGCCCAAGAAGAAATACATTGACGAGCTTTAATCTTAATTAAATTAATGGACATCAGCTATACACGACGAGAGATTTATACATTTTTCATATATCTATTCGAAGCTTTTCTAGGAAAAAAGACCACATGGAGACCACATAAAACTACAATACAACTCATTAACTATGTTGAGGTAGATTTATGCAAAAAATTGTTCCTTTCTCATCACATGTCTATTGTATTTTACACGTCTTAGTATTGTATCTCGTCACATGTCTATTGTATTTTGATGAGCTTAGCAAGACGAATGCCATTGGTAAATTTGGCTAAAATACAATAGACACGTGACGAGAAAGGAACCATTTTTTGCATAAACCTGGACAATAACATAGTTAATGAGTTGTATTGTACTTTTATTTAGTATCCAAACCATGTATTATCTATCAACTGTGGGTAAACCAATTACGACAGACTTCAGTCATACCTTATTGTTACTTTTGGTTAAACGGCGTAGACAGGACTTGGATTTCGCATTAAATGCATTGTTTTCTTCCCCATTAACTCTGGGCTCCAGGCCCTTATCATCTCTCTCCAACAGGTGATAAAAGAAGTCGTAGTCCAATGGATCATCCGGAAGACTTGACCAAGCTCGTTCTATGCGTTCATCCCCCTTCTCCAGGTCTGGCCAACGTGGGTTGACCAGGCTACTAAACACGGCCACGACAGTTTTCTATATTTATTATAATTCAGTGCGTAGTCAGATAACGGAAAAAATAAACAGTAATATCTTACTCTCATTTTATGTTTTGTATCTTACTCTTATTTACTATTAACGCAACAAATGGACAGCTTGTAAAAAGCTTGACAGGTTTGTAACAAACCTGTTGTACCAAGATTGTGTAAATTTGCCGAGCTGTGATTCAATTAAGATGTGACTCACACACAACTTGTGCCCGCAACTAGTATTCGGACAGGTTGACTGACAGAACTTTGGCAAGTTGTTGCAAAAACTTGTAACAAGACTGTTGTGTTTATCAGGTTTGTAGAAAATCTGAGGCCGGCTTGTTACAAGGTGAGCGTCTTTACGTTTGTATGGTGAAGATGACGTGTTTATTCCTGGCGTCGGCTGGCGTAACTCACCGGGCATTTCGCGACATTTAAAGGATTATAAATTTTTGGTAATATCCGAATTTTTAATCAGAACACTTTAAAACAAAAAAATGTACGTGTATACATTAACTTTTGATTATGTTTTCATATCACTTATATACTCGGGCCAGCGAATATGCGAATGAGAGCAAGGACCTATATGACGACGTAAGCAATCGTGTTGACGACCATAGCTCCTGATTTAGGTCGCATTTACACGATACCGGATAAGTTTTCGTATACGATTATCTACGTTGATTATCCGATATACATATGCAGGGTATCGGATTTGTCTTGATCACACGATAACGGATTGATTAAAAATACAAACAGATTGGCATAAAAACAAATGTGAAAACGTTACCGTGTGCACACAGCCTGCGCCCCGTTTCAGACGTCGAACTTTTCATGTGCTGAACATAATGTTATTGAGGTAATGTGTGCATGTTTATATAAGCTTATTTGCATTCGATTCGGCACATGAAACGTTCGACGTCTGAAACGGGACTGTAAGTCAGAATTTAAATGTAGCCGTGCCATGGTTAATTGTTTTTAGATTTTAATGCTTTTTAAGAGTCTTTTAGTACGAAACTAAAATGTAAACAAACGTGCTGATTGGCTAATAAGAATATCCCTCCCCTAGTTTTGTTAGCGCCGTATGTTTCATCAATTGAAAGAGCAGGTCTCCTTTGGGACACCAGGGTCCGGTTGTTCAAAAGTCGGTTAACTTATATTTCGCCTGGGTTATATTCATAAAGCAAATCTTTACATCAATATTTTTAATCCCTTGTTTACAAGATGAATATATTTTCCATAAATATTTTCTGGACTGACAAAAGCCATGTTTTATAAAGGTTTTAAAAAACGAACAGCGACTCAGAAACACTTAAACCAAAAGAGTGGGTTAAAACATATCCCAGAGTTAGCGCTAACCCAGTTTGGAACAACTGGCCCCTGGTGTATTGTACTCATAATAACACTTACTTTCATACTTGGTGTAGGTTTATTCGTAGCAGGATTCCTCTCGCTGATATAATCGCCTAAACTGTACTTCGCTGCTCCTAGGTTTTCGTTATATTTAAAGAGGTTGTGAACCCTACAAAAACAATAGAATAGTCACATACCGCTGAAAACCGTTTCTCAAAGCTTCCAACTAAATTATGAAGAAGGTTTGTTGCGGTTCTTTACCGGTCTTGCTTCATCTGTGAAATGAGAAAGGCCGCAGTTTCATCGTGAAAATCCATCAGCGCCATTTCTACAGGAAGGTATCGTTTGTGTGGGTCTTCATCTTTAATATCTTGATGAACTAGACCAGGGTATTTCTTCACAAGATGTTTAGCAACATGAATGAAATCCTGTTTGGCAGCGATATGTAGCAAGGTGGGTTTTGCCGGCTTGTCGTTTTTGTCACGAAAGCCCCTGTACGTGTCCGTCGTGTCTTTTTCCAAAATAATCTTTGTGAAGCGACCTATCTATAGAAATTAGGTAACATAAATGCATATTGTAATTATTTTCCACGTGCTTGAAATGATACCGCAATAGAAAATTGCTGTTTAAGACTTAGCTGATCTATTGTATATGAAGTTGTTCCTGTGCACCCAGGCACCCCCGCGCGCTCATTTGTTTTCTCAGCTGACCTCTATATAATAGGAAGTTGACGTTTCACGACGCCCTTGCAAAACAATGAAAAACCACACGCGAGACAAAAGCTATGCATATAACTTGTGATCCCACGACACTGTCGTCATTCTTACAACGCCTTCAAATTGAAATATATGTCATATGAATAGAAGAACAAATTATTTGTTTAGTCGAAATGATTTTTCATTGACCGATGTAAATTTCCTCCATGTGAACGGCCCTAAAGATAACCACCAGATTGGATCTAAACACGCCTGCATCTAAACAGGCCCTTCTAAAGGCCTGTTTACGCTTTCATTTTACGTACGGTTTTCTCCTTTTGATGGATGTGAACGAGTGAATTAATTACTGATGCTCAAGAAGACCTCTTATAAATGAGAGCATTCGTAACTAATTACTCGTTCACATCTATCAAAAGAAGAAAATCGCAGAATAAATCGCAAGTGTTAATACGCCTTAAGAATGTTAGAATTACTAGTTTCTTCGAAATGACTACCTACCATTTTTTCCAAGCTCTTTAAAACATCCGGTTTACCCTTGAACTTTTTCGGCCAATCTCGTATAATGACAAGCAGACAATCTGTACCCAATTTATTCATCAACCTTTCAACACGAACTTCGTCCATTGCCTCGCTCCATGTTATGCCTTTTGATTCAAACTTCTTTTGAACCTAAATGTATTTATTTTGACAACAAATAAATCCCAGTCAATAGAAGGGTTTCATTTAATTCATTTATATATTATAAGTGCTGTGTAGAACTAAATTTATCAGAGGAGGAGGGGCTCTATTGACGAGGGTGGAGCCGGGTGACGTCATTGTGTGACACCATATATGTTCAGAACTTGTCACTGAGATGACTCTTATATTAAAGGCCATAACTCATATTAATTAAGTCACATGTCTCACATTAAGTCATTTAATATAAAAAATAATAAAATATTAGCTGACTGGCTGTGCCTGCAACTCCCAAAGCAACTCCCCAAGACTCACAATGGAAGTACTTAGTGTGAATTTGAACCTTAAGCTAAGCTGATGAACATAGGAGTATAAAAAGATTTTGATTCTACCTTATTAAAAAGTAGCTGAGTTTCTGTAAAAGTTCAATTAATAAATTATTAATTTCCTAAATAGAAGGGGGGGAGGGATTTGCCCTACCAGAGATTTAAGAAAGGGGTCTCTATTCTCATTCTCATTTATACATCTCGACATTATTTGCATTAACACAGTTTAATAAATATTCGGTACAGCTGATATGGTTTCACCCCCACCTAGCAAAGTCCTGGCCTGCACCCCCCCCCCTCCTCCAAGAAAACCGACTTGTATCCACCCATGTGTCACATGCAGAAACTTTACCCTTTAATGTGTGACAAATGGTAAACCGTGAAATTGCTTAACATATAGCATATTTAGGAGAAAGATCCATCCGATATATGGTATATGACACTTGATTCAAATGATATAATCATATGGCATAGTTGTAACAAGTTTTATGTGCATGATTCCAAGATTGCAGGACATGAACCCTCTGAGTGACAGCATTCATTAGCAAGTAAAATTATGCTAAGATTGTTTTTTCATATTTATAGCATATGAATTACACACTGTCTCTACAGGTTTTAGCACAATGAGAGCCTGCTCAGACTCAGACAAAGAAAGGTTTCACTAATGATGAATTGAAGAGGTTTCACTAATTATTTATTGGTTTAACATGAAAATTGATTTTGCTCTAAGCTTATATGGTACTTTTTACAAACACCCGTTGGAATGTAGCAAAACAAAGACAGCCCCAATGGGTGTCAGTCACACAGCTGACTTCTAAATGAATATACATGTAGGGATTGAGTGATGATCCATACTGTACAAGCAATATTCATCCAATAGCAATATTGTGACTTTGCCCACGGGGGCAAAGGAAAACAGTATTGGTGAGAATTGGTCAAAGCAGTTGCATATAATGTATGGTACATTTAACATTTGTCTCTCACTTGTAGATACTGTAAACAATTTGATAGCTATAATTTGCTATGTTGATCAAGGTAATAACAGCCGGTAGACTGTGGTGTGAGATAAGAATAGAATTATTATTTATTAGTTTTATAATAGAACTCTTATATAATCTGTCGAAATCACGAACAGTTATTCAGAGTTATTTATGCAGAACACTCTGGATGTATGATTTATTGTTAATCAATGCAATTTAGTCAATACCCGATACATTCTGTTACTGTATTTAAACTTTTAATCTAGTCCTTTTAGCCATGAGAAATGTGCAAAAGTGCAAGGTCAAGGGCAATGGCAGCTTGTTGAAGTTGGTAAGCTTTACCAGACATTTGATTCGTGCGAGAACGGCTCACATGATCAAAGATTATTCGATATTAACTACAGTCAATACCGTGGTTAAATTAACAATAACAAAAGCAAACCTCATCCCAAAACTCTTGATCAAACGGATCTTCTAGTTTCCCACTGTCCTCTTCGGATTTCCTTTCCTCCAGCGGCATAGCCGTGTATTTACTTTCAGACATTTTCACTCCTATTAATCTTTATCCAAACAATTTTTGCAACGTAAAACGTAAACACAGGGATGTATTTACCCAAAGCCACAAGCGCAACGCCCAACTCCTATGAAATATCGGGCATACAGCCCGCAGCTCATCGCATTTTCTGGAGTTTTTTTTTGTTCGCTAATAATTTTGTGTTCGTTTAATAATGATGAGCATCGTCCGTAGGCCATAGTGATGAATTTTCTGTAATTCCGTTATAAATGAAAATCAAAGATTCCTGATATTCACATAATGTGGATATACATGTCGCGTCAAATGGGCTACATTTGATCGTCTATGTCCATGTCACAACTCACAATTGCTGGGGTTTTTTAAAAAATTTTTGGTGCTCTTCGGCAATTGGTACGGTTTAACATGCATCTTTTAAATCAACAGATGCCATGCACCTGTTTTTTCCCCTACCCACAAAACATTCAACATTCTCAACTATAACTTCTTCATTACCCGCACGAGCAAAGCTGAAAGCGCTATAATTGTTTTTAATCCCGTCACGGCCGTTAGAGCAGATTATAAAGGCAGCTTTGCCCACGGGGGTAAAGGAAAACAGTATTTAGGTCAAGTTTCGAATTTTCGATTTAGAAATTAGATCACTATTCCGGTGCCGAGGAGACGGAGTAAATGGTCAGCAATCAAGAAGGCCTGACTTGGCAATGGGTACTTCTACTTCCGAAAAGGCCGAGAACATATTGTCCTTGCACTAAAATTTTGGGAGAGGAGGCACCTCGTCCAAATGCCCCACCAGTTCCGCGCTCGAGTGCTGCACACAACCAGCACTACCTCCTCCGCAGGCGCTAGGAAGCATTTCGGAAATTTCTACCTGCAAAATATCACCACCCGCCATATTTGCCCGAAAAAGGTTTGCGAAGGAGGTAGCAACCAGGACACAACTGATAAAGCTTCAGCAAAACTTCGTTTCAGGATATTAGGTAAAGTAGTTGCAAGAGATGCAATAAATCATAAATGAGATTGCCGGAGGATCGGAACGCAGGTGAAATGATGACTGATGAGTGATGAAAAACTGCGATATTTAAAGCCGAAAAAAATATAACAGTTTCGCAATCGGCACTAATTGGTAGAAGGAGTGTTAGGGCCCCCCAGAGGGCCCCCCAGATTCAAAAAGTAAGCCCCGTTCAAACTACACTACACTCAATTTATTGGCACGGCAGGGCTAAAATTGGTACCCTTTGCCATTTTACTAGTGCTCAGTCTACCAAAACAAAGGCCGGGCACGGATTTAGCAGTGCCGTGCCAATAAACTGAGTGTAGTGTAAACGGGCCTCTAATCATGGCCAAACAAATTTTAGTTTTAATTTACTCACCCAGTTTAGTCCAACTCCAGAAAGCCTTTCTAGTATGAAAACTTTATTTGGTGGATGTCACCTGAACAACTAATTACACCCTTCAGTTAATTGTTATTTTTCAATCAATTTTTCAACAGCGTCTTGTGAACGTCATAATTCCTGGAATTACACTACAGACAATGTTGCTTAAAAAAGGTCCATCAGAAGTCATTATACACTATGAATAGCTCCAATTAAGCCTTTAATTTTGCCAGAGTTCACAAAATCGCTAAAGGTGATGTTTTCAACGTCTTCAAACTCAAACGCAAAGTGTCGTGCATCTTCAGCGGCGTTTAAAACGCCTTGCGGAGGCCACTGGGAATCCAAACTTGGCCCAAACGAGACTGTGAACACCTTTTTATGTACCACGCCATCATTTACATAACCTCTTTCTTCACATGTTCTTTTTATTGCGGGAATTGCCTCAGATGTCAAGCTTATCAAGACGACGTTGTTGGTTTTGTCTAGCCAAGAAGCATCTTTCAATTTGCTTTTGTAATTTTCTTTATTAATATTCACATTCTCGACGAACTCTACAGACCCTTTCGCTTTGTCCTGGATAGCATCTTGAAAGTTTTCAACTATTTCCTCTTTTTTTTCGGTATCCGATTTGTGAATAAGAAGAACATACTTCGTGTCTTCCATAAGATTTGCTCGTGGGGCCTGGATAGGAGGTTCTTCATTCTTTTCCTTGTTTTCCTTTGAAGAATTTCCACCCATCCTCAATCTATATGGTGAAGAAATATTTAGTATGTAGCTATAGGATCAAACGTTTCCTGGGTTCTAGTGCTGGCCAACAATTATTATTAGTACAAAACAATTATTTACTTTATTGTCCGTAAATAGTGCGCTCCATATACTGCGCGGAATAAGCCCGAATATATAATTTTAGGTCAACTCATTTTGCTCCACATTATGAAGTGCATTGGAGTGATAGGACTGTAAGCTTGTTCGAAAAACAGGAAATGACTACTATGCATGTTAAAGATGATTTTCATACGTATTGTGAAGAAACTAGAAGACGAATTATCTTTCGCTTGCCCAAGTTCGTCCAGACGGATGATCCGTCTCTAGTATAAATCGGATTTACCACATTCACGTGGAAATTGTGACAAAGTTTCTATAATAGAACTTACTTCTTACGACGTTTTTGAGGTTAGATGATAAGGATGGGTTGATTGATAACATTTTAAAGTTGTAATTAATTTGCAAGTGACTGCCTAACTGTTTTATTTGAAAAGACCGTAATTCGTAAGCAGAAGTGAGCTCCCTTAATATTTTTTTGTGATAGCGCTGTGCAGCTGGCATGGTGGGCGCACGACAGGAAATTTCATTTCAATATACGCTTGACAATACGAAATGTAAAGGTCTGTTGGAAAATCATTAAGTTTTTTAAGTTAAACATTCTATTTTGTGGGATATTTTCAGTTTAATCGAAAGAGAAAGTATTGTTTTATCGAAGATATGTTCTGTTTGGCTTTTCGTTCGTGTTACACGTCATATTTAAAATTGTGTTTATCCCAAAAGCAGTTTTGACTCTCGTGAGAAGATTGGGGGAATCTGATGACGGTGTTCTTTCATATAGGTAAGATCTTCATGCAGTTCATCTGCCAACCATTAAGTCCATTAAGTTATATTAGCTGGCTCATTTAATTGTCTACTTAGCTAATACATTTGATTGCTCAGAATGTTATATGATTCATTCAAAATATAATTTGATATTTAACTATCAGCTCTAATACTTTATATACCCCTATACATTGCACCACGCCCTGATACGCCTAAGTTTGGCAGTGCCATTAGCCTTGGACACCACTGGGCAACATTCCTTATGCCATTGCGTTCATATAGTATGGACATATAAACTTGGGATTATATTGAGGGTTTTTGTTGAAGAATTTAAAATTGTATGTTTTCTAATCCATTTCAGTACACATGTGGTACTGTATATAGATGATCAAGTTGCAGTTTTTTCAAGTGAGATTACCCTTCAAGGTCTGAGAGGGATTCATTTGTTGATAATCTAGGAATTAGTTACGGAAACAAAATGCTGAGTATTTCCATAAAATATAAAACAATAGAAACTCCCTTAAAAGTGAACATTTTGAAAAATGATTTTCAATTTTGATTCTCAACCTATCCATTTTTAACCTTGTGTAATCTACAGTAATTGAGAGAGTGCTGGTAGTATACTAGGTGGTACCAGATGCAATATTTTGGAAGGGTATATATTTATATTAATAAGGGTATAAGGGTATAAATATATATTCATAGATTTAGGGGGGAAAATTTTTCATAAGTATCACCCCTGCCACGATTACATGTCTTGTTGTGCAGTGGTGGTATGTGTGCATCATTTGGTTAGCATGGTCCCTTCTTGGTTAATAATTAATTAACCAGAGATTGGAGTTGTGCCCATGCACCCTTACTCTTATGATACTAATTGCACAGGAAATGGCCTTTTTAATGCTTTTTTGAGTAATTGTTTAACTCAAATTAGTATTTATACACTTGATGTAATCAACAGGGGAATGGTATTGCTGGCTTGAGTAGGTTATTCAAAAATCACCTTAACATGTTTGGTAATAATGCTGTATTCTCTAATGTGCTTTAATGTACTGAATCATTTTAATCAGTTTATCATCCCTTCATTTCTTAATTAACATTTTCAGTACCACTGACCTAACAGTACCACTGACCTAACAGTACCACTGACCTAACAGTACCACTGACCTAACAGTACCACTGACCTAACAGTACCACTGACCTAACAGTAACACTGAAATGAAAAGCCATGATGCAGTGGCAACAATAGTCAGCTTAATTATTGTCATCTTTAACCCATTAAAGTTTTTCATGGTAATAATGGGAGATTATATTCTTAATGGGAGAATATATACACTCTTGAGGGCTATCAGTATCTGTTAGATTGAGTGTATGAATCATAGTGCCTTTTTTATCTTTATGTACAGGTTCATGCTGTGAACACTCACTCTCAAAGAGTGACTTTGGAAAGAACAAATTTGAGGATGTAGTGTGATTTTTAAGACAGTTGAATTATCAGTACACCTAACGTTACGACGTACGTATCGCGGGCCCAGGTTTAGGCTGAAACTTTTGACAGCTAGGATGGAAACTTCTGGATTGAAAGCTTAAAAGCATCTAATTTGATGACAGTGTATATTGCTTCATGATAATGCAAAGTAACACCAATTTATTCGATAAATATACCCACAAACAGGACAGAATTCGGTATTTAGTGGAAACCTAAAAGTTCAATCCTTATAAAGGAACATTTAGTGAAAGTTTAAAGCTATTGTGAGCTTTGAAAGTGGTCAAAAATGCTCTCTTTGGGTCTTCCTTGTAAGGCATACATAAAACGCAATTGAAATTGCACATTCACTTACGTGTGTTTTGATCACTAGATCAGCCCGATACGAGGTCGTTTTGGATTTACACCAGCTTTCCAAATCTTACTGGCACTGTTAGAGTAATTGTTAATAAAGATGTGAGTTTAGTTCGCTTCTCAGAGCGTAAATTAGACTTGCTTCATCCAAGTCTTGCTGTTTCAGGCCTCGACACGTCACTAGAATAAAGGGAGGGGAGCCAAAACATCGCTGAACAGATCAGGTCAGCGGTCATTCCATGAAACGTTATGCAATTAGCCTTTCTCACGATGACGTTTTTGGGTACTTTCCACTTTCTCAAATGGGTTAAAAAAATTATAACAACATGAAAAGCATTTTCTTAGAAAGAACAGACCATTTGAAGAATAAATTGCGTTACAACGTCTTACGCTCACGGTTTTGAAAGTACCCCCAAAAACGTGAGAAAGGCTAATTGATGCTTTGATTGAATACTTCGACATATTTTCGAAGCATCTACGCTGAATAAGGGAGACTTGGAACTTGAGATAAAAATTTCAAACAACCACTCTGTTTTAATAGTAGCTATAACAGTAGGAGCTCCGGAGATTTATAAAAGGTAGATTATTTGAAAACACAGTACACACGTGAAAACGATCAGATTTTTGCAGTGTTGAAGTTTGATTCAAGGTTTTTTGAGCTATGTACTATCAGTGAAAAGGAAAATCTGTGCAGTTTGTTGTACGGTAGCAATAGTAAAAAAATTTGCACTATCCTTGGATCCCTATAATTTTAGGAGCTGTTTGCCTGTAGGGATGTTTTTCACCTCTGTTTAAATGCAAAATTCTAGCCCCACATCTAGGGCGAAGTGGACGCCGCGTTTTGGCGCCAAAAACAAAATGGCTGCCAAAAAAACCCACAAAACTGTTATTTTCATTATTTCAATGAAAATATATTTACTTTTCCTAATGATTTTTGAACAATATACTCTATTATTGCTTTGAAGATGAACGAAGAAGGCCGGAACCATCAAATAGCGTCATTCGGCTGACGTTGAAATCTTTAGCCTTACAGAGAGGGCTAGCCGTTTATATGGAAAATTTCCAGCCCTCGGGTAGTCAATAGCGAGATCTCGCCTGATAGGGCTGGCTCTCCTCTCACGTAAACGAAATTGTTCTTTAGTACGCCCTTATAGTAGCACACGCGATCTCGCTTGGTAGGGCTAGCCTTCCCTGTAGGGCTCGTGTAAACAGCCCCTTAGTAGTGGGTCCCCTTAACTGAATATTTTGAACGGTACCAATTCTCTCTTGGCATAATTTGTTTCAAAGTACTTTCTGTCTCTTTACTAGTAACAAAAATATCTAAAATGAATCATTCATTCATGAATATACTTTCTAATTGTGTTTTCCATTTTTCTATAAGATCTACCTGTCTGAGTAAAAACCCGTCTGAATATGAATCGGGATGGATAAATTTATACGTATGATGGATCGGGTAATGCGTAATCGTTATGATAATATTTTTGTTTATTTTCCCTCAACCTTGTTCCGTCCTTCACTGTGCTGATATTTCAAATACTCGTCTGATTTATCCGTCTGAATGCAAATTTAAAACGAGTTTCTCGACGGGAAAGTTGGACGGAAAAATTTGGACCAGAAACCCGTCTGACCTGATATCAGACTTCCGGTCTTCAATGAGTTTCCCGCGTTTAGGACGAGTTTCCCGCCTCTATAAATTTATCCAATCGTATTCATTTTTACCATCAACTTTCCCGTCTAAGATGATGATTGAATAATGTTGCTCATATTGTTCACACCACTGTTGTCAACATTGAACAATATTGACTATTGATGAAACAGAATTGAGTGTAACAATATTGTTTATGATGATCGCGTTCTGGGGCCGGTTGTTCGAAAGGCGTTTAGCTTAAACGGTGGATAAGTTCAAAATGGAAAGCAAAAGTATTTATTTATTGAACAACTGAGCTGAAATATTTCGATGTAAATAGCTTAATTGTCAATGGAAGTACATGTTTAATGCATAAGATGCAGATTTAGTCATTCACAAGATGCATGATAAACTTTGGCTTATCCACCGTTTAAGCTAAACGCCTTTCGAACAACCGGCCCCTGGGAACAATATGGGCAACAGAATATTGTTTATTTCATTTCATATCAATATTGCAACAATCTGATCGTTTTTACTTTTAGACCTGTACTAAGTTTCCAAATTTTCTACAGCATTATGACCTCCCGGAGCTGCTACTGTTACTATTAAAACACTTAGAGATTTTGGTTTATATGATTAACTAATTTAGTTACACGCTTCCGCTGTAATACAAAAGTATATACAAGGTGCATCGCCGAGGTAAGAAATTAAATAAATTAAAACGCAAGTTGTCCATTAAGGTCCTCCACGGCCCTTGTAGTTAAGGTATATTTTTCTTTACTTGCTGCGTGCAATAGAAGGGCAATATATTTCCCAGGTCGTGTGGTTGTCTCACTTGTCTGGCATTAATTCTGCGAAATGTCCCGTGATGAAAAACAAACACAGCCATAGGTACCAATATATTCATCAGTAAACATTTTTAAATTATTTAGCCTCTTAATAAAAAAATTGTCAAAGTTCTTGATAAGAAAATATATCTTTCAAAAGAATGAAAGCTATAACAGAAAGGCTGTTCCCGAATAGATCATTTTGCATATTATTTATAATTTACCGAATGAAATAGTTTGAAACAAGATATGCCTGGGTAGAATTATTAAGATTTTGACCTTGCTATGAGTTAAGGCATCCAGATGTTCCAATTAACGTCAACTTGCGATGTTTTTGCTTTTAATGTAACAACCACCAGAGAAACGGAGATAACCCTGGCTGTCAGAAAACAGGATCTGTTAACAATGCAAGAGATGATATGAGGGAGAGGTGCCAAAACAAAAATAGTAGCTAATAACATTTCATTAGTTTAAAACTGATGTCCTCTCGTAATGTTAACAAACGCTCTGTTTACATTTTGAGTTGTTATTTTCTTTGAAATACGACAACAACTGCCTGCGAATCTTTCTTATGTCAGCAATGTTCCCTATGGTTTTAATAGAATAGAAGCTAGGGTCTGTGTCCAGAAGAATCCGAAGCATTCAAATTTTAACAAAAGGTGCTTTCAATAGTTTGGGGTTTGGGGGAACACCCGGAAGACTGCTTTACTGGACAATGGCGCTGGGTATTTAAGCTGAATGCTCTCTAGCAGGTCTTCCATGGCTTATTGAGCCGTAAGAGTAAAATTTTGACGATGAAATAAACCGTTGAGACTAAGATATGTAATAAAGAGAAAAGTTAACATTTTATGCAAAACGTCAAAGACATTTTTATTTTCCATCTCAAAAATACACTCGATTTTACGATTTTCAAATCCAATCGAATACTTAAATTATGGATGGTTAATGTACAGAAATTATACATTGTTATAAAACGTCATAATCATTGAACAACGTGTTGTTTTTAATTTCCCATAATTGCGCAATAAACAACACAGTTTTTATTAGTTCATACTTGTACAATAATCAATAGTTAACCAGTCCAACCTAGTCCACCACCGTTCATAGTGGACCTCAAATCGTATGTGCTCAAGAAAAATAAAGAGGACAAAACTACGTAACTTTAAACAAATAGCAACTGCGTGGTTTGAACACTTTGAATGTCTATTTTTGTTCAAGTAAGTTTCAAGATGGTACTAGACCAACACCTCGGCTGTATGATACCATCGCGACACCCACGCCTCGATTATACGACGGACGCCAGATGAGATGGGAATCTCTTCTACAAGTACAACCGTCATTGTGATAACCAGAGGGACATTTGGTGCATCCGCGGGCGAATGTCAATCCACACAAGTCGTACCATGGACATCCTCCGTTATTGGCGTTTATTATACGAGCATCTCTGAAACATGTGAGGCCATCGTTGCGATAGCCGCTGGGACAGTTACCATAGCACATGTAAGTGTTGCCATGAGGCGTTGAGCTCGGGCATCTTCTGTAACATAAGCCAGCAATTTGTACAGGACGATCTTTAACACAGCCCCAACAAATCGTTCCAACACCTAGCGAAAAGGCCCAGTGTGAGAGGGTCCTGCATGGCTGGTAGCACAAACCTGCGTGCATCACTGAGTGACTGCTCGGACACGATCCAGCTAAAGTGCTTTCTGAATTGAATAAGAACACGAGAGAAAACAGAAAATGAAGATACTGCGAAGCCATCTTTTGATAGTCTATCTTGTGACGAGAGACAAGTTGCAGCAATACTGGTCAACACCACCTATCAGCCAGAGAACGAGATGGGCTTTTATAATGCAGGGAAACGTCAGCAAAATAGTAAACAGATTCAGTCATACATAAAGACGGGGGGAAAATGGTAAACGATGATCGATATCCCAAGTGTATGAATAATTGGATTAGATTAAAATGTTATGCACGCAGTAGGAGTCACAAAAATAATGTTGACCAGGGGTCAACTTAGGGAGAATGTGTTTTTTTAGTTTGTTTCCTAAACTTTTGACCACGAAATAGATATTTCAAGATGGAAACGTATATATATTATAGCCTATGATGCAGTTTAACAGCAGAGAATGACTGGAAGCTGTTTGAAACAATATACATAATTATAATATGTAGGCGTAAAAAGTAATGAATAACATTTTGCTAACAGGTTTAATTAAACTTCATTAGGGACAAGTTTCTAGTAAACATGCAAGGTCATTCAATTTTGTTGTATGAGATCAGGTCGCGGAAACTTTTGGAACGATTTTTGTTGCTATGTTTGTTAAATATAGAGAAACCGAACGGCAACCGTTCATCCTATAACTTATTTCAATTTTTTGAACGGTCCAATTGTCTCTGAAGTCTCTTGTGCTACAATTGCCCTGGTATTGTTTATTAATTTTTTGGTATTGTCTGGTATGCGTCCATGCAGAACGAAGACGAAAATTAGGTTAAGAGGCTCTTCACATGATCACGATTACCTGAGATTCGACGAAGCGTAAAATGACTTCGAGGTCCGTGGTGTAGTCATCCCAACAATACTATGGGATTTTTTGTTTCTAAAGCCTGGTTTCCATTTAGTTTTAATTATCGTAAACAAGTCATTTTCACCGATGAGAAATAGTATGGATGTATAAATCGTCTATATTTCTACAATTCAAATAAAGTATCTTTGACTATCAGCCACCTTAACAT